AGAGTTTTGGAATGCTCCAAGGGTCAACAAAATGGAAAAAACCGTGACTTTGACTGAAATTTTTGGGCTTCAAATAAGGATGGGCCATTTAGGATTTTGGGTTTTCGGCCCTTAAACATAGATTGTGTGTAGCATACTCCTTTCCTTGGGCTTGTGGCTGTTTGGGCCTTTTAATGTTTTACTTTTTTGGAAAAAAAACGAAATAAGGAATATTAATATACCTATGACAAAAAAATAATAATAATAAACGAAATATTCATGTAACTTATAATAATAACCATTGGATATTAAATCAAAGATATCAACAATCTAAAGTGACTTTTGATACCTGAACAAATAATTTGCAACATAACATAGTCACCTTTATCTACACTGATTAAATGCCTAGAGCTCAAAAGAATTGCTCTCAATTTTTGCTAACCCACATAACGTGAAAATCAAATCATGAATTACTCAATTTGATAAATAAAAGCGTGTTTGATTCTGTTTAAAATTCACTGAAACGGTAAATTTATTTTAATAATGCTATAAATTTAATTAGTGTTCAAACCTGTGTAATACACAAAATAATATTTAATAAATTTTATTAAATTTATTAATCTAATTAGTGTTTTGAGCCTGCGCACGGAACACAATTCTTTTAGTCTTGTCATTACGTTTCCAAAATATTTAAGAAGGGTAATATACATATATATATATATATATATATATATATATATATATATATATATATATACAAGCATCTTAATTAAAATTAAGAATTAAAGAGAAATGAAAAACTATAAAAAAATAGTTTGTGTAATAGGTAAAACTTGAAATAAAAAAGAAATTTATAATATAAAAAATTAAAAGGAATGACAATTAAGATTTGAGGGAAAATTAAAACTTAATAATAAAAACAATGACAAAATCATTTCTTGAAAAAAGAAAAATAATAAACAAAGAATATTCTCATATTTATGAATGAGGACTTTGATTCATAATAACTAGCAAACACTTCATATATTGGACAAGTGTTTTTAAAAGTACGTAAACAGCTATAAGTGGCTTAGAATCAAGAGAAATGTGTAAATTTTTACAAAAATGAAGATAACATTTTGAAGCATAAATAATTAAGCATTTTAGATTAAAAAAATAATAACAAAATAAAAAATTAAGTTGAGATTTAAAAATTTAAAAATTTAAAATTTGAACCTAAAAAGAAGTTTTAATTTAACAAAAGAAAGAAATCTTAACATAAAAGAAAAAATTCCAAATAATTAATATTTTGAGAGTTCATTTTCTTACTATAAATATAAATCTTTACTTTTAAAGATATTTCTCGTTATACATTTTGTGATAAGTTTTACTTTATGGCAAGTAGTTGATAGTCAATCCAAAGTTGATTACAATTAATATGATAGTTTTGATTTTAAAACAAATTATCTGTGTTTGGATATGATCTTTTAAAAGAGAGTTGAAAAGGTACAATTGATTTTATTTGGATAAGATTAAGTAAAATCAATTTCAAAGATAAAATTACCAAAACGGATATAATATAATATGTTTAACAAATGGACAAAAAACAGCCTTTACAGGAGTTTATGTGCCACTTGCTAACCCATGTTTACATACTAATACTCCAAAGCATCTTTTTTCTCACTACTAACAAATCATGTTTTTCCATCTTGACGATTATCTGTATTAAGCTTGTTGATTCATCTAAACACTTGTTAAGAATTACAACAGAGTTTTCAAAAAGTGAATGAAGGTTCTACAAGTATAAACGTGTCCAAACTGGCCCTGAGTCACCCACATTTCTTTTGTGTTAGAAAATCATTTTATTACTAATGACATTGGAATGAGTTAATGGTGGGACAAAAATAAATGCACCATTTCCACCATAACAGTAAAATTCATTAGACGTGGCTTATTTTTATTCAAAACTTTCTAGAACTTTAGTGACACTGGGGGTTCCACTGAAGTTGAAAAATGATATTTGGTAACAATATATTCAATGTTTAGGTTTCAAAATTCTATATTTGGCACCTGTAACCATTGTAGTAATCATATGCTTAACTAGAGATACAGACAGAAATGTTGCTGTGCTTGAAGTGATATATTTATGTAAATTGAAGGATTTTTACGTTGGGGAGGAAAACTTGATTTTAGACTCTGAACATGGGTGAAACTGCAGGCATTTGGGGCATGGGGACTTTCCATGAAATGTAGGGACAAGATAATGGGTGGTTTTGTATTAGGTGCAATTTGAGAATGACATGGAGAAGATAGATTAGATTATTATTTATTTGTAGAATCAGATGAAAGGAAATGGCGTTGAATGAGTCAAAACACGTGTATATAGAAGGTTCATTGATGTAAGAATGTGGAAGGAAAATTATATATTTACACTATTTTGTTTTTGGTTTGGTGTAAAGTGAGTAGAGCGATGGGAGAGATAAAAAGAACAAAAATATTAATGATGTGATAAAAAAAAGAGAAATACAAAGAATGAGATGATGAAAACAATTGGTATAAAATTATAAAAAGTGTAAGTGAAAAACTGTTCTGTTAGGTTGGTTTGGAAGGTTAGGTGATGTTTAGATAAAGGTTGAAAGTGATAAATGAATTCATATGGATAAACACAAAAGAAAATACTACTTATGGAGGATTGGGTGCCCCATTTTGATAATGTTGATTTCGAGAGGAATTACAAAGTGAATTTGAATGGGTTTATTGTGCGATGTGTCAAGTTTTATGGTGAGAGAAAACTATAGCAGATGGTGATAATTTGGATGAGAAAATAAAATAATTTTAATAAAGTAGAAATAATTAAAATTTGAATTATGTGAAGGAGAAAAATAGAAAATAATTTAAACAACGCTACCTGATGCAGAGTGTGAAGTATGTTGAGTTTATAAATTCTAACAAAGATGGACACACTTTGAGTGGAGTTATAGAAAGAAAGAAAAAAGTGCAAGGTTAAAATTCTTGTTCAAGTTTATTATATTAACCAAGTCCAGCAAAGGCTCCATCAGATGTCTGAGTTTTACATAATTGAGTGGATAGCTAAGAAGAACTTGACAATGGTTTTTTTATTTTTCTTCCAATGATGGGGGGTTGGTAATGAGAAGTGTATTTATTTATGAGAAAAACCTCCAAAAAGATAAAGGTAAAATGCCATGATGAAGAAAGCGTTTAATGGTTTTAATTATTAGTCTAGGTTTTCTTTAAATAATAATAATATATATCAACTTTAGTATATTAAATGCGAGTCATTATTTTTAAAATGTTGCTAACATTAAGATTAGATTTATTAATATTTTTTATATTGTAAAGTGAGATAATATTCACCTTTCAATGTTTTAAGGATTGTGATTACGACACATAATTATTTTTTAATTAAAAATTTAAAAACTGAAAAGAGAAGAAAAAACACATTTTCACTCTCAATGTCTGGCCAGTTACCAAATCTGTTCTCAGAAAGGAAAGAAACGTAGGTATAGCACACCAGGTGATAACAGGGAGGGTGGTGCAGCTACAATATCATCATTTGATATCAAAATATAGAATCAATGCTCCAATAAATTTGTAACTGAAGAGAAATTTCTGGAACAGCAATGGATTGAAGATTAGAGAGAAATATGGTCTATAGGAAGGAAAATTTTATCTAAGAGATGAGTGTGGCACTTTCCTGATTTGATGATGTCTCCATTGTTGGTAGTGATTGTGTTCACTTCATCCTTCATCTCTAATCTTTGATATCAAAAGATGATTTTGTTTCCAAAAATTTTGGCAACTGAATAGACAACAAAAGAAAGTTTTTTGCTTTCTTTTCAGTTTTAAATTGTTTAATTAAATAATAATAATAATAATAATAATAATAATAATAATAATATGTAATAATAACAGCCCTTAAATGTTTTAAGAGTGAAGATTATCTTAGTTTACAGTGTCAAGTGAGGAAACTAAATTTAGAGGAGTCTAATATATTATCAACTTCCTTAAACAAACGTGAATGTTTTTAAGAGTTATTGTTATTTTTTTTAATTATATCATACTTTTTATATTAAATATTTATTTTTAAAATTTTTTATTCAAAAATATTTTTATTTAATAATACTCGTATAATATAAAAAAAAACTCAATAATTATCATTAATTTCTCTTGCTTTCTTTATTAACCAAACAAAGCCCTTTTTTTTTCTTTTTTGTCACTACCTCAAATAAACAAAATAAGAATAAATTATCTTTTCTCTGTATATTTCCCTCCCTTTTCCCCTTTTCCATTAAAATTTTTCGACATGTCTCATCTTTTTTTAAACCAAAAATATAGGGTAAAAGTGATCTAAAAGTAGAAGTAAAAAGAAAATGTTTTTTCTCCAAGTATTTATAGGAGGGGAGGGAAAGCCCATTGACCTTGACCCACTGTTGAACACTCTTCACCAACAGTGTCTTCCAACCATGCAATACCCAGAAAGTCGTGTATTTAATCAGTAAATGCATTACATGTTGTGGTAAAGACAAAATTTATTTGCTGGCTTCATTGCAGAGACAAACGCATCTTTTACAGTAGAAGAAGGCACAGAGAAAAAGGAACGGCCAAGAAAAAATGGAAATGGAAGAAAAACTGAAGGCACGTTCAATGGTACACATACAAAAGGTAGACATGTTGATCTGACGTTTAGGGCCTCTTTCTCAAGTCCCATATTCAGGGACAGGGTCCCTTGCATTTGTCCACAACCAAACCTTACCTCATCTTTTCTTTTCTCACCTTCAACCACTCGTTTCTTTTCTCTCTGTTCCACTACGATTCTCTAGTCAACTACACCCCTCCAATACGTAATCTTATATATGATTATTTTCATATTTGTTTGCATATTTGTATTTAAAAAATACATTCCAAAACAATAATAATAATAATAATAATAATAAACACTTTTAGATATTGGCTTAAATGCGGGGAGAAAAAAAAAACAATTTTTTTCCTATATAAATAGGTTACCTCAGTTTTGCACTCTCACACAATACAAAGACAAAACAATTTTAGCATCAATCTCCGGGTATCGCTCTGTCTCTCTCCCGCTACTCTAATTCGAGTTTCTCTCGTGTTATAATCAAATTTTATATCTATGTATAGTACTTTTAGCTATCTTTCACTTTACTTCTCTTTTTATATCACTTCATTTATATATTCATATCGTTTTTCATTCTTGTCTTATCTGATTGATTTCAGGGTGCTTGGAGAGAGAGAGAGAGAGAGAGATGGAGAATGGAGAAATCCCATCAGTACCTTCTACGCCTGCTACACCAGGAACACCTGGTGCTCCTCTTTTTGGTGGGTTCAAGTCTGAGAGAACTGGGAATGGTATTGCTAACAAGTCCTCCCTCCTAAAAAATATGAAATGTTTCAGTGTTGAAGAATGGACCTTAGAAGATGGAGCCTTGCCTAGAGTCTCTTGCTCTATGCCACCCCCTCCAGTTCCTCTGGCAAAAAAGGTATTTACTGTATAATAATGAAAAAAGGTTAAAAACAAACATATCAGAATGCAACTTGCATGTCTCCACTGCAAGCTAAGTTCTTTTTTTGTTTTCTAGAAAAATGATGTACAGAAAGACTAGTTTTTGTGTGAGGGAATCGGTAAACAATGGTCACCCATTTTCCCTTTATGTGTTAATGTTGTTGGGTTGATTCTAAAACCAGGTAGGAGCTGAGTTTATTGGCACGTTCATTCTCATGTTTGCCGCCATAGGCACTGCTATTGTGAACCAAAAGACTCATGGCTCAGAGACTCTGATTGGATGCGCTGCAGCTAATGGACTTGCTGTCATGATCATCATTTTCTCCACTGGCCACATCTGCGGTGCTCATCTCAACCCTGCTGTCACCATTTCCTTTGCTGCATTGAAGCACTTCCCGTGGAAGAATGTAAAAAAGCCTTATTTTGTCTTTTTTAGACAAAACATAAGTATAGTGTCATAGGTGCATATATATATGTTTTTAATATTATTTTTTAATTAAAATTATTGTTTCATCTGAATTAATTGCAGGTGCCTGTGTATATTGGTACACAAATTTTAGCATCAGTAAGTGCTGCATTTGCCCTTAAGGTGATTTTTCACCCCTTCATGAGCGGTGGTGTCACGGTCCCTTCAGTAGGATATGGCCAAGCTTTTGTTATAGAGTTCACTGTCAGCTTTATTCTCATGTTCGTTGTCACAGCAGTGGCCACCGACACAAGAGCTGTGAGTATCTTATTCTATTAAGCACTTTAGTCTCATAATAAGTAGACCGAATCGGTTGAATTGAAGTATGAAAAAGATGTTTTATGATCGATAAAAATAAATTACAGTCAGAAGCAATTGAGGGGTGAAGGGAACTGATAATATAAAACTCTAAGGAATGATTTTGTTCTTTTCTTGGTTTTCATATTCTTTTATGCATATATATAATGCAAGGATACGGGAAGGTTTATCGATGCATGTTTTCAATTTTTAAAGGACATAGTCTCAATGAAAATAGGAGGCCCCTCGTGATTCGTGCACGTACCTAACTCGAAATATAAGAAAAACTGAGCATTGTCCGATGACATCGCATGCATGCATGCATGCAAGGGTGTTTATGCCTCGAGTTGAGTTGTATATAGTTAATTTTAAAATTGTCTCAAATTAAATACATGAATAAGTAAGATTAATTTCTTTCTTTCCTGTCTAGTTCCTAAAGTTGTATATGTATATACCAAAATAATATGCTAATATTCGAAGATCAATTTTTAAAAATGCAACGTGACGTAGAGAATATGTCACATATTGATTTTTTGATACATAGATAGCTGATTCGAAAAGCTCATTAGATCTTAATTAACCGTTAAATGATCTAGGTTATGCGTGCAAAAGATTAAGGCTTGATTTTTGTGATTTTGTTTTTAATTTTAAAAATTATATTCTAAAATAATTTTAAATAATTGTTTTTAAAAAAATGAAAATAAAATTTATGTTAACAAATTTATTTTATTTTATTTTACTTTTAAAAAGAAAAAACTGTTTTTAAAAACAGAAAACAAACATGCTCTTAATGTTTCATATTTTTTTAAATATTTATTTATTTTAAGTCCTGATATTTAATAACAATAATATAATTTTAGTATTTAATAAAAAATTAAAATTATTTAATGTATCATTTTTAGAGACTAACAAATATAATTTTTATGAAAAATAAAAATTTATATCTTAAAAATTTAATTTTGATATATTATTAATTTTAGAAACGTATATTATCAATCAATTAAATATATAATATAAACTTGACTTTTAAATCAACAATAATAATATTTTTAATCTCTAATTCTCTTATATCTCCTTCAGACTTACTTTTTCTTTTTCATCTCTCTCTTGATTACAATACTCATCATATGTTTTGTTTTCCTTTCTTTTTTTTTTTCTCTTCTCTCTCTTACCCCAAACAACATTTCTTTAAAAGGTGTTAAAATATCACATTGTTTAAATTAATTATTATAAAAGTTAACAATTTTTATTAAAATAAGATAATAATGTAAAAACAATTATTATTATTATTATTTTAAAAAGACTAGAAGCTTAAAGTCATAAATAAATACGTTTCCTCTTTAGTAGTTGAGCCAAAATAATTTATTATTGTTTTCAGTTGTCATTGCTAGCTGCATGCAAATAGAGTCAACCCAGGCATGCGCATTTTGAGCCAATAAGAAAAAGGATATCTATGTCTTCATTAGGTGTATACCTAATGAGAACTTGAAAGAAAATAAAAAGTAAAATAAATAATATGATACAATAAAAAAGGAAAGAAAAATAGATAAAAAAGAATAAAGTAAAAGAGAGATAGAGATAGAGACAGAGATATTAATTAATATCATTATTCAATCAATAATCCAAAAGGCTATGATTAATGACACAGTAACGGGAGTGAATGGAAGAGAAATCCCGGTTGGTTTTGTTCATTTTGCGACCATTAAAACATGAACACGTTTTGCAGTGAGATAACGCTGTGTATGCATATGTTAAAAACAAAAAGGGGATCGAATTTGGAATGTTGCTAGTTGCATCAAATAAGCATAGTTTGTTCGAAGCAGCACCACTCCTTATTGAATTTAAGAACATTTTTATTCCTGCATTATTATTAATTCATATATACATGTGTTCATATACATACATATGTCTGTGTTTTATTCTTATATGTGATTATCATTATATGTAAATTATTGATAATATAAAAATAATGTTTTGATTGATTTTGGTGAGATTATGGTGGCAGGTGGGAGAGCTTGCAGGAATCGCGGTGGGAGCCACCGTTATGCTTAACATACTCATAGCCGGGTATGTCCCAATTTGTTCTATTCAAATATACAACGGTATTAACGATTATTGGTCGAGTCCAGGGTTACCCCAAAAAGAAAATTAAGACATTACAACAAGCCCATAGATCTATAGGAACATCAATTCTTCAATTATCTTTGATGCCACCTTGTTAAACATTATTACTCATTGGTTTTCAATTTTTTTCAACAATTCAGGTTTTATTTTACACAAAATTTATATATTAAAAAAGAGTGTACTTTCTTGGTGACAATATAGCTTAAGTGGTGAGAGCTGGTAGATTATATTTAAGATGATTAGGATTTAAATTATAGATTTAGAAAAATCCCATATCCTAATTCCCCTCCTTCAATGATAAATTGATTGAGAGAAGGACAAATTTTGGAATTTTTAAAACTAGAGATATAAATAATAGATTAATATATTTTTGAATATATGGTCCCCCTTTCAATTGGATTACCAAAACGTGTTAACAGAGATAAGAAGGAATAGTATAATATGCCTAACACAATTAAGGTGTGAAAAAGAAACAAGTGTTGAGTCCAATATTCGATGTAACATGCATGACCTTGTCCTTGCTTAATTAATATATTAATGATCATGTACGCACTAAAGGCAAGCAACTGGGAGTTCAATGAACCCTGTAAGAACATTGGGTCCAGCAATTGCTACAAACAACTACAAAGGCATTTGGGTATATCTCACAGCTCCCATACTTGGAACCCTGTGTGGGGCAGGTGCATACACCATCGTCAAGTTGCCTCACCATGATTTAATTGCCCAACCAAAGGCACCTTCAGCTCCTGGGAGCTTCAGAAGGTGACTCATGCATGGATTCATCGTCACACTACACAATATTTGTGCCTGACATGCATGCTCTTATCAATACTGCAGAAAGCAACAAAAAATTAGTACTACTGTTGTACATGCACGTATTATATTCATATCCGTACGTGTTCAGATGCATCAATTATCACTTGTGTACTGCAAAATATCCAAGAAAAGAAGTGTTGTCTCGTACATTTATGTGCCCTGGCCTACATATCTTGCCTTCTTTTTCTTCTTGTTTTAATTAATATATCATTTTTAAAATACTAAATGCCTATTTAAAATAAGAAATATAGTAAACGTAAATTCAATACAAAATCCTAACTAGAACAGATCATGGTTACATTAATCTGTTAGAGTTTATCGTTTTCTCAATTAATCAATGTCAAGTCAATGAGCTGTAATACATGTTTTTTTTATATGCGTAAAATATCATATATACATACTCTCTTTTTAATAAACTATTCCAAGTAGCGTTAAATAGACGGACATTCAGATTATTTTGATATAAAACAAACACTAGTATTTTGTTTCTTTGTGAAAAGTAAACTTGGGATTTTAAAAAGAATATAACAATTGCGATTAACATGTGTACGTTGGAATTTTAATTATTTTTTATTCAAAATTTAATTTATTATATATTAATAATTCTCTTTTAAAGTTTTAAACTTCTCGACTAATATAAATATTTTATTTACTAAACTTAAAATTTCATATAAAAAATAATATTATTAAAAAATAATTAATAGCATTTTAATTTTCTTATACAAATAAATAAAATATATTTTTCTTCTGTGAACAAATAAATGAACATATATTAATATATATTTTTTCCAATTCAAAATCAACGCAACTTGAGTTGGTGGCTTTCACAGCATTGATATGTAATAATGAGTGCACCAAAAATTAACTTACGTTTATCAACAACTACAACATTATTATTAAAAATTTGTTAGGGTAGGATTTAAATATATTATTTAAAAATAGTAATAATTTTTTATTCATAAAAATACCAATATTTTTAAAGATCATCTTAAAAAATATTTTAATAATTATGATAAAAATGTATGAATAATATTTTTAAAGAATTTTGTTTACTTTTTTAATTTATACCTGAAATTGTTAATTAGCACTTGCTATTTAATAAATATACTTAACTTAAACCCTACATGAATTAAGTGATTGAGTCCTGAGCCAGGAATCTCACGTATTTCCAAAATTTCATCCTTGTTTTTTGTCAACCCAATTTCTCATCCTAAAACGAACATATGGCCTTGTTTTTTATATTATTCTTTGGTGGCCCATAAACATTGCTAGACACGTCTTCTCTAAGAAAGGAAATAATTCAGATGGATCTAAAATCTGCATTAGAAAGAAAGCAAACTCTTCTTGTAAAAATAAATTTTTTCCCTCGGTGGTGGAAAAACATAAGAGAAAAAAGTGAAAGAAGGAAGCAATTGTGGAGTCGTCTGTCCCGCGGGTGCAGACGACCTGTCTTCATCGCCAAACAACCTTCTAAAGAAGATCACAAACATTCACTACTTTCCCATTAATTTTTTAAAAAAAGTTTTGATTTTTGATATTGTTTTGTTTCTGATCCATGGAGGTACCGAGTTCCTGGGATGCCCTTCGCAAACAGGTTCCAAATTTTCTATTTTTTATGCTTTGTTTTGCCAGATCATACTACGAAATTATGTTCTAAATGAAGCAATTGATGTGGGTATGCACAATTCGAGTGTCCACTTCCCAAAGTTTTGATTTTTTCTTTCTAGGACTTCTTCATTTTGTCGGTGACAGGGAATTCATGGGATGGTCTTCTATCCTTTTGCTATCTGTGCTTTGAACATAGTTTGGTTTGTAGATTTACAGGTTTTCGGTGGTGGTATATATATAAAATGATGATGTCTTAGTTTGGTTTTTGATTTCTTTTTTTTAATTGATTGAATCATGAGATTTGAAATGCTTTGGGTGAGGATTTTGTCTCTAGATTTAGGTTGATTTGATATAGGACTGGAAGGTTAGAAACGTATCTGATTTGTTTAGGAAATAAGGTTTTTGCATTGGGATCTACATTCGTAGCGAGTGAGTTTGAGTTAAACCAACGATCATCATTTAAAGGTACCTAATCAAGGTTGTTGTAATTAGTAACAGAAGGCTCTGTTGTAACCATGGGATCTTCATCATAGATGGTGTATGGATGTTATTTTGTGGTTTTACAACACAAGGACAATGATGTAAAAACTCTAGAAAATATGAAGTGATTTTGAGGGAATAAATAGTTAATTTATAAGCTGTAACAATTGTTGCTTTTGGTTCATTGCGGCATCTAACAAATAAACAAACACTGGTGACAAAGTGGTCCATGATGGAACAATTAATACAAGCTGTTAAATATATTAGTAAAAAAAATCAGTGGAGGGGATCAATGACCTGTTATGTGTCTGGGATGTAGTGATTCAAGGTTGTAGTATATTGCTAGTTAGCCCTATCACTGAGAAGATTGCCAGAATCTAGAATGCTAGAGGGGTTCACTAGAGTTGGCAGCCTCCGCATGCATGGAATTCATGTATTCTGTTCACCCTCACACTTGATCAACGTCTTCACCTGAAAATTGCTACTCATTCAGAACATAATGGAAGAGTTCCACTCCAATCTGAAAGCTGCTGAGAACTGCAAATTTGGCCAGAAACCATCACTTTCTGGCTGGTCCCTTCAATAATGGCCAACACAAAGGCGTGCTACGATTTGGGGTGGCACAGCTTGCCTGTATCAATGTCTCATGCGGTGGGAAATTTTCTATGCAGAGCAATTTGGGCGACATTTGCAAAGTTTGATGGGCATGCAGAGAAGCTCTCTGAGAAATACAAAACAATGAAGTAGTGTTGTATCTGTTGTTGATCATTGATGACGACAATGACAGTGTCGCATCCATTTTCTGTCCTTTGAAATTTGCATCCAATCACATCCTCCTTCAATTGCTGCTGCCACGGCATTTTGTCCAAGCCTCACCGAATCTGCACCACCATGTAACTGTGGTTTCCCTTTTGAACCTGGAGCTCCTCTGGCAAACCACCCTCAGTGAGCTGTCACCATAACCCATCCTCACCATCTACTGTTGTCCGCCATTCCTAACCCCAAAACATGTGCCATCATCAACAATAACAACGTTGTACAGGCCCACAGGCTTGGTGCTCATCACCTTGCATTAGTACCCATTGCTTCACACACTGATCCCTTCTTGTCGCAAGCCCATCTCAATCATAGAGGCTAAGTTGTCAACCTTGATAAGAGATGAGAAAGTGGACTATAAAACTCTAAATTGAAAAAATAAAAATAAAAAAGTTGTTAGCTGTCATTTTAGCTGGTCCATGCCAAAAGCCATCTTGGTTTATATGTATAGATGGTTGAAATCTGTGGATTTCTTTAGATAGGCTTCTCAATATTTGGCCCCCTATCCATATAAACATGAAATGGGGTAGAATGGTAAATTTGTCAGAACTTACAAATTACAATACAGATGAGAAACCTTAGGTGTTTGGCAGCATAAGTATTTGCTAGAGTCCTCATAGACTGCTTACCTAATATTGTGGAATTGTAGTTGTGTAGACCAGTCACTCGTTTACAAGCTTCTAGCATGCAATTCATGTGTGTGCATTCTGGAGAATAAGTTCCCCTATCATGGAAGAGTTGGGTAATACATAGTTTATGCATGTTTTTCATATTTTCTTAGGCCAAATGATTGATAGCAGAATTTCCCCCCAATCTTTGCAGGCAAGAAAACTTGAAGCTCAGTTGGATGAGCAAATGAATTCTTATCGCAGATTGGTTTCTGCTAATGCTTCTACAAAAGCTGATGCTGCAGAGAGTGATCTTGAGTCTTGGATTGAGCGATTACTGAAACAACTCCAACAAGTAAACTCACAGATGCAAGCTTGGGTATCATCTGGTGGTTCGGAAATGGTTTCTCATACTTTGACTAGACACCAAGAAATTCTTCAAGATCTCACCCAGGTATTCTATAGTCTGAGCTTGAGTTACCCTATATCATTTTTTGTAGTCTAAGCCATCGATGTTGATTTCATTATATTGATTTTCTCTCCGTATGCAAATAGGGATAGATATTTCATGTACCCTGATACCAATGGTTTATTCTGACAACTAATGATTTTAAATTAAATATGTTCAACTTCTGCCCTTCCATTAATGGGAAGTAAATAATGTAGGAAATTTTCCCAAGTGAATTTATAAGTAAGTTTCTGTGTAGAAGGAATCCTCCTTTTACAGCCAGGAGTCATATGTCAAACTGCTGGTGACTGTAATGAGCATCATTTCTTGCTAGTGCCTTAAACTTGTGATTGAATTATATATGATTTTGAATCTTTACTTTTTGCAACCATTGTTCAATGCTATGATCCCACTCCCTATTTTGATCCCAATTTCTTTTTCAAAGTCTTAAAGATATTTTAAACCAGCTAATACTTGATACCGATATTCAAAGTCTTACTATTTGTTTCTTCTGTAATTTGCTCTTAGATCTTTGCTTTGTAACTTTTTATTTGTGTTAAATACTTTATTTCTTCAAACCTTTAAACTTTCTGCACTAAGCTTAGATCTAATTAAACTGCAGGAGTTTTATCGTCTTCGCTCAAGTCTTAAAGCTAAGCAAGAACATGCTTCACTGTTAGAGGATTTTAAAGAATTTGATCGTACAAGATTAGACTTGGAAGAGGGTGCAGAATCTGAGCAGCATGCACTCCTAAAAGAGCATGCATCTATCAGCCGAAGTACAGGACATGTCAGTGATATGAAACACTTACATTGCTTTTCTGAAATGAAGTGCTGTTTACTTCCTTTTTAATCCTGATATTCCCAGTAGAATGCTGTAGTCCTGTTATATTATATTATTTATGAACTATTTTATTTTTGGGCAACAGCACATCTGATTTGGATATTGTCTAGTTTTTCTTTAGCTAAGTCACGTGTATGCATGCTGCATAACAGATATATATAACCTGTTAGGTTTTTTTAATAATTATAATCAGCTTTTATATATTAAATTTGAATCCTCGCTCTTGAACGGGAGGACTTCTCTTGGTCTACTGTCTCCCAATGAATGATGTGACTTTTCTTACATTAAGTACTTCATTTTTTTATCATTTGTTATTTTTCTCAAATTTTATTGCTTAATTTTAGTCAGTCCTTGTTTATCTAGTTGTTAACGCCAAAATTATCCATATCTATAAATTTGGAGCTCAAAATTTTGCTCATTTTTTAAAAAAAATTCTATTTGATGTCCAATTGTGGTAATCTTGTTTTGAACTGTTTTGCTTATTCCCGTGATGCAGATGGACACTGTTATCTCACAAGCACAAGCAACTCTAGGAGCACTTGTGTTCCAGCGTTCAACGTTCGGTGGCATCAATTCAAAGCTCAGCAATGTGAGCAGTCGCCTCCCTACGGTATGATTCTTATCATCTTGGATTTTGGTTTTTTAATCATTTTCCTGTTGACCATCTACATCGTGTGTGTATTCTGAGACTGAATAAGGATGTTAATATATAGATGAAATATGATGATGAATTTCATATTTCACGAGAATAGATTACCTGCTGAAAGATGTTGCCACCTTTTGGTTCTGAAGTCTTTAGTCTTCATGAATGTTGTCTGGATTTGCTGGTTAATGTATAATTTTTTATGATGTTGCAGGTAAATAACATACTTTCAGCAATAAAGAGAAAAAAGTCAATGGATACCCTTATACTTTCCCTTGTTGCATCCGTATGCACATTTCTCATATTCATCTACTGGCTAACCAAATGAGGGTGTTGATTTTGGAGGGTGCTCAACTTGTGTAATCTGCTGTATGCTCCTTGTCTATTGGCTTTGTAGCTTGTGTCATGCTGCCGTCACATTTTTCAGGCTAGTGTATTGTTCATTTGATTGTTTATCCCTGTAAAGATCAGAAAATTACCCCCAAAAAATTTTTCGCTGTTCCATATCTTGGTTCCGATTTCATAGATCACAGCATGTAGTAAGCGGAAAAATATCAAATAAACTTCAGCGTGCATTCTTGCTTCAATTAATTTTAAAAGAAATCGTTTTTATTTCTTTGTAGAGAGCTTTTTAAAATGAATGAATAAAAAACCTCCAGAGTTAATTTTTCTAAACGTGCACTTAGTGCAACAGATTGGAAAGGAAAAGCCTTGTCAATATTGTTGTTCCAAATGTGACGTGATATAAGCTACCCAACCAGGAACAACTAGACAAGCAGAGTCACATTATCCAAACCCGTTGAGCACCACAAACCGTGCAAGCGTAGATGCAATTGTAGTATAACAAAGTGTTATATAAGAATAAAGCAATCAATTTTTTAAGTTGCTTGTATAAGAGACAAGTGTTTACACATTCAAGCAAGCAATTCAAGATACACCTCCGTCAAATTTATGGTCTTACAAGCATAAGTGCATTTCTAGAAATGTCTTTAGCAACTCAACTAGTTCTTCGCACTCCGCAAGTGCATGCTCCAACTGCAAAATATTGACATAAGCCTAATCCAAATATGTTACATTAGGCTCAGGCTGCTTCTATGAAGACAGCGAATCAAACTATCACCATCTGCTGCACTTCACAAGTCACTACACAGTAGACAATGGAACTGCATAATATTTGCATAGGCCTGAAACGCCATTACATAATGTGCCTTAACAATGCATGGGAGTCCTATCTTGTATTCTTGTTGGGTGGAATTTCTAGGGTGGAACATTATCTCCACTTAGTCAGAATTTGCCAAGTTCAAGGATGATACGAGTCACTATTTATCCTAAAGTAATAATTATGCCATCTTATTTTGGAGAAATAGTCTTAAACAAATCCAAATAAGAAGTTCTTACATATAACTTCTTATTTAAGAAAATCCTGTGATGAATATGTTCAACAAAGATCCCAATTACAATTGTCAATAGGAAAGAAAATATCCCCCCTCATCAAATGCAGCGTAGCCAAAAGTTTTAAATTTGATAAATATTTGCTCTTACTTTGAAATATCACTGTGTCTGCTTTTCAACACTCCACATTAGATCATAGACAACTTTTGTAGTAATATGACTACAAATGGGGCATGGACACGTGCCTAGTCATATCTCTTCTGTCATATTCAGATTAACACTTCCTTGAAGCCCATGAAAATGCGATTTGCGTGGTACTGTGGTAGTGGAGATAAGTGGTGATGTTTGAGTTATCGTTGGATGTTTTGATGTTGGTATGATGGGTTGGTAATGGACAAATTGTTGAGTCCCTTATTACTTTTTGAACATTGATTGATTCATTCTGAATAAACAAGCAAGAAGATCTTATAAAAGGGATTTTGAGTCAAATTCGACCCAGCAAACGCAATAGTACAAAAGCAGAGAACTTTAAAAGCAACTGAATACTTATCCCATTACATCTTTATCTCCAACCATATCAATGCATATTTTGATGTTCCCTTGACTTCGATCAACAACGATGACTTTCACCTAGAGGATCCACCATGCAATGCTTAGTCTTTCATACAAATCACAGTATTTCTTTTTAAATTTAATTTGTACATATTGTTAGTATAACTAATACAAATGATATATTTTTATATCATTTAATGAATACAATATTCAGAAAACACATTAAAATTAAATTAACACACACTTATAACGTTCACGAGTCTAAGCAAAAATATTTTATACTTTTGCAAGGATAATTATTAAATCATTTAACTCATAGAATACAATTAATTTCATGCTAAATAAAATTCAAAGTTTTTTTCCGAAAGAATCGTAAATCTTTCTTACACTGAATCACTTCAACATCTACTTATTGGCCACATGTCACGATCTCCACGGCTATATGTAACAAGACAGTTGACCAGAAAAACAAAAGCACAACACGACAAAGCAAGAGTTTCATATCAGATTTATCGTTCAAAAGAACCGACAAACAAGTACAATTAATTTTAGAATTTAGCTCGAGTAAAAAAGACAGAAGAAAAGGGTGTAAAAGAAAAATTGTAGAAGGGGCAAATATTATATTTTATTATCTAAATAAATTTGTATTTCGTTTCAATAATTAATGCTAATTTTAGTTGTTGGAATAAAGGCAAGAGTTATTAAAATAAAATGGTAATTTTGATTAGACATCACCAATAATCCTTGTATATATATACTGTATCTAAGTTTTGAAGCTTTCCATTCTCTTCATGGTTCATTATTTTTAACAGAGATTCCCTCTATGAGTTTCCAATATGAGGCAGACACACAAGTTATCCCTTTCTTGTCACTATCCTTTCTTGTCAAGGATTTGATTCCAAGCCAACGTGAGCACAGGCAAAAGAGTTAAACAATCTTAAAAGTTATTACTTACCCATCAAATGTCAAAGAATTCTTAGCTAGGCATCACAGCATGTGTTTTTGCAAGCCAACCGTGCGGCCTCAGTTGCTTGTGTCCAACACTTTGTGTTGGTTGTTGTCACTATCACAATAAAATGAGGTTGCAAGCAAAAAAGGCTCCAACCCTTGGGAAAGGGAGAGGTTGGAAGAAGGGGGGGGGGGGGGTGGGGGGACCTGATTTCTCATATAGCATTGTAAGATTGAATCATTATCAATTGTCCTTGGTACTTAGAGAAGATTAAAATTAATTATTGCCTTATTTATTCCAAAACTTCATATGAAAATGTGATACAAGACAAAATCTACAATAGTGTTGCTTTATCATCATAGAAACTTAACCAACATTTGCAATGGACAATTCAACTTTCATCTAAACCTATGTGATACAATTATAAACAAATAACAGCTCCACTTTGAAGAAAGTAAATAATTCACCTTTTGAGAGAGGAGCATATTTTTTACAGTACTTATTTCTTTAACAGTTATTACTCTTATTTTGACTTTTTTTTAAAAAAATTATGTCATAACTATATACATCAAGTGTTGTAATTTTAATGGAAGGAAATTGAAAAGAGAAATGACTATGTACCATTTTAAAAAAATATTCTTGAATATTTTTTTATTGATCTATTTTTTAAAAAGTCAACAATTTTCGCAAAGTGTATTTATGAAATAAGTATTGCTGAATAGAATCCTGACACGTGTTGTGTGATAGAAGAAGCAAAATGGTACATGATCAAGACCATAAATGGCAGAAGCAGCCATAATAGGCAAAGTTGGTATTGGCTTCTCTTATAAGGCAATTGTTCGTGTCACTCTTTACTAGTCGATCGAAGAAAGGACATAAAACTGCCAAATGAAATTCCTAGAATAGGCTTCAATTATTAAATATTACGGCAAAACATTATCATCTTAACAAAAATACAAAGAATAAAGCATAAGAAAGGACCCATACCCAACTATGATCAAAAGGCAATTGCTTCGGATAATTCTAGGGACCTTAGTTTTTGATGTCATATCAACTATGCGATCTCTGTATAAGTAAAAGTAAGGTAATATTGGACAGTTGAAACCCCGAAGTAAACTACAATCCAAATTTCAATAGGAACATTTATGGTGATTAAGGATGAGCCTGTAACTCGTAACTCTCGTTACTTATTACGTGTTTAGAAACTTAATAAAATTATGTTAAATTATATTTAAATATGAAAATTATAATTTACAATGTTAAAATAAATTCACGTTTGAGTAAGGTTTGACACGCTACAGTGATGTTACAAAAACAAAAATTATATATTTACAGCCAACCACCTTTACATTTCGTTATTATTATTAATATCCAATTTTGAAAGCTGAATGTTATGATGCAGCTTAATCATACTATTATATGTGAGATAAAATGTAAGACAGGTGCAACTCAAGTAGCATGTAAAATAATTAAAAAAGGCATATAATATACAAAGCTGACAAAGATATCATTATGCAGCATTAGAGAAAGGTTGACACCACATGAGAGACACTATAAAATTATTTATTTATTTTTCTAAAAACAATTGGTTAACTTCTTTTTACTCCTTGTTCTGAGTTTTCTAACTTATAATCTTCTGATGAGTATTGCTTAAACAGTAATTTGAAATCATTTGTAAATAAGTTTAAGGGATCAAGACTAGTACCCTTATTATGAATCTCTGGCTGTTGCATTATGACAATCTTTTGAAGAAGAGAAACACTAGCGAAACCTACTTGTCTTATTTGTCGATTCTTAGCAAGAGCTAAAGAGAGTAGTGCACGCTGTGGATAGTGGTTGGTCGAACGACAGGTGAGAAAGTTTGGTGAAAGTGAATCCCATATTTTTATGAAAGTTCTTGGGCAACCAAACAAGCTTTAAGCACTTCCACACGTCCTTATGGTTTGTGATTCGTTCAAAGTATGATCTTAAATTGTGATCGTGATTGCAGTTGCACTAGTTTACAATTATTGAAATTAAAGAAAATTTATAGTTAATGCAGAATGTTGATCCAGATACTACAATAATTTGAAAGAACGTAGTACTGTTTTCTAATCAAAATTGAAGTTTCATTGATAATATGTGTCGATTTTTAATGTTAGTGTATTAACTTTAAATATTGATTTTAATTATGCATATTTTCAAATTGAAACTCTAATTATAATTAGAAAATAACATCAATAATACCTATAATACTAATATTTATGTTATTAGGTCTGAGTTTTGTTTTTCTTAACCTGCAATTTAATATCATGGTGCCAAGTATTGTAAAAGTACCTCACATTATGACCCTTCAATATGTTCTCAAGTATAATAAATTCTTTTTAAAAATTGCAATATATAAAATTGAGTCTGAATCATGTACTGTACACCATCTACATCCTGAGTTTGAAACATCCACTTACACTTAGGCCCTACAACATCGATATTGGGAAGTGGTGACGCGATGTCCAGGTCCAATTGGCAATGAGGGTTGCATATTCTTCTTGCATGGCTTTAAGGCAATTCGAATCTTTGGTTGCTTGTTTGTATGCGTATTGGTTTCATCAGAAGAATGGTGAACAAGTACAAAAACAGAAGGCCTTGAAACATTACATCTTGAGAGATTAGCCACAAGAAATGAAAGATGGCCTTGGATCGTTTTTGGCATCTAATACCGTGTAGAAAAATGAAGAGACAACTTATTGATTGAAGATGCTTATACATGATAGAAATATAAACTCATTCATGTATCTTTATTTAATAGCTTAAGTTTTTAAAATAATTAGTCTATGAATTAATATCAACCCCACATAATCAGTGGTTTGGACTTTTTAATCCTTTTTCTGGGAGAGCTGATTCATAGTAATGTAAAATACACACAAACACACACAAAAGAAAACATAAACTCAATCCAAGAGCTAATTATCATGCTATAATAATATTTTCTATGAATAATAATGCCTCAAAATCGAGGATAATGATATTTTTTAAAAATGATATAAATTAGTTGTTACACTGGATTCGTGTATGTAGTAGTTGGTCTAGAATCGAATCACTTCCTGTGCAAAGATTAGAATGATATAAATTTTAAGCTACAAAAGTAAGGTGCAAATATCCTCATACTATAATAAATTGATAGTGTGGACAAGTCTATTTCATATGACGAGATAAACAAACAATAATTCAGGACAAGGACAGAAGAGTTTCTGAGAAGATACTGCAAATCCACCAACAGGGTTAAGAAATTCAGAATACCACACCTTTTATAAGACAAGTCCATTCTACAATACAACATTATTCTGAAATTCAAAAGTAGGCTATTGATCTTATCTTGGATTTTTAGCCCGTCATAAGTCATAACCTATAGACATGAATATACCGATAAAAGGCAGATACCAAGACCAGAAATGTAAAGTGACAAGTGAGAAGACAAATAAAAGTAACAAAAAACATTCAATGGGGTATGCACTAGCAAGTTGTACGTGGGTGTTCTACACAAGTTCCAATCAAACACACACACTCACACATACATAAAGGGATGTCTTAATTTTTAGGTCTTGCTATATTAAGACCTTGTAACTGTAAAATAGTGCCATCTACTACTATACATAGCACGGAGCATTTATTGTTGTTACATCATTTACAAACTTCATCTTTCTTGCTGTTAAACCAAACTTGCATAACCAATACTGCTAAGTTAATCTTGCAAATTTCTTGCCATATGGATCTACAAAGACCTGAGCCATGCCCAAAACCTTCTATGGACATTCAAACAGAAAGGAGACAGACAGAAAAGGAAGATCAAAAACACCAACATGACTCAGTTCCTCATCTCTTACTAGATCTAAGTCTCTCCAACAAAGATTCAGGTGATGCCTCAAAGCCAGAACTCAACCTCCTCAATTGTTTCCATACAAATTTATCTGAAAACTCTTCAGAATCTAGTCATGGGAATGAAATGGATCCCCGGGTTTTCTCATGCAACTACTGCCAAAGAAAATTCTATAGTTCCCAAGCACTTGGAGGACACCAAAATGCACACAAACGTGAAAGAACTTTGGCGAGAAGAGGATACAAAACTGGTGCTTCAGTTTCAGTAGATTTTGGACAGAGGAACACCACTATGGCTTCTCTGTCTTCACATGGCTTATACAACAAATCACTTGGAATTCAGGTTCATTCAATGATCAATAAACCTTCTTATCAAACACCCTTTTTTGGGTTATGCCGTTCCCATGGCCAAAATGGGTGGCAGAGACAACCTTTGGATTCTCAACCAGCAATTGGGAACTTTCATGTGGGGCCAGAAACTGAATCATCCATGGCTGATACTGTTCCAAGGTTAAGCAAGTTTTCTACAAGGGTGGTGACAGAAGGATTTGGAGGTTACTGGTTGGGTAGCATTACTCATTTGAAGTCTAAACAAGAGAAGTTGCAGAAGCTTGACTTATCCCTCAAGCTCTAAGTAGTTACCCTCCAACATGCTAGATGCCATACCCAAGTTAATTCGTGTCTTTTCTCATTGGCCACGAGCTTGACACCTCTTCCCTTTTTCATTTCTTTTGTCCTCATGTATCTCTTGTTCCAGCAAGTCTAAATGCATTTTGGCTACTTACCATAGGTTGTGTTTTGCTATTAATGTTGTCTTCTTTATTTTGTCATGAATAATGGTTCTACATGGATTCATTTCCAAGTTAAAACTTCCATCAAGATTTAAATTTCTTTGTAATAGCATAATTAAACACGTTAAACTCTCTTATTTCCAAGAGATTATACGGTTGGTAGGGGAGTTAGGTCCTCGCTGCTTTTAGCTATTCAAGAATTGGTTTGAAAATTATGAAAGTTGATGAGTCTGCATGTGTTTAATTTATCCAAAATCATTAGTCAGTTCTGGATATAAAATTAGTAAGAAGACAAACAAAACCTTCTATTTTAAATATATTTTGGTCAAGCTTCTACTTAGTAATTATCTTCTATACTACCATTAAGTACTGAGCATCTTTTATTCCCATAATTAACAACTCTAATACCATATAGTTATTGAAGCTCCATTCTTATTTGACAATGCACTAGATGTCAACCTGGGACTGTTTGGATCAAGGTATGTATGTCTCACATATTGAATGACAAAGGTCCACACACTGTAGAAATTTGGATGGTAGCGAGTGTCGTTTTTTCAATTCATGTGGAAGATTGGTCCACCAAAATTCACAGTTTCAATGGCTGTGATTGTCTCACTGATTCCTACTTTGACCCACCTGCAGTTGGAAAAATGGACTATCTCTATTGGGATCAGAGAAGTAGGTGAGGCAAGCCATGTGAAAGTAAGCCAAAATGACACTCAGCTATGCTATCACATCATTTTAGAAGAAATGTTATTGATTAAAATCTTGAATCTTGATAGCCTTGATTTCTTTCCTAAAGATATCTAAGGTAGGTCCATATCCGCCTGATGTTTACACTAATCTTGTTTTAATCATGAAACATAAGCATAATGATAAAATTAAGGAGGAAAAGCAACTGAAAGTCTAGTCATTATGACAGTTATTAATCATAGTATTGTCACGCTAACATAGGATATGTAGGATCTGCGATGCTTCCAAACATGGATTCTGAGTTTGGGCTTTCTTCTTGCCATATGTAGCAGCACTTCGGTTGGGCTGTCTATTTTACTTGTGGTGGCATACCTCAGTCTTCACCATTCGTCCAATAAAATATCAAGAGCCTTTAGTTTTGCCTCCCAACCAAGAAAGTAACACAAATGGACAAATACAACTGAACACGTGGAGCTGTCATTTTGCTAAGATTTGGTGAAAATTTGAAGCAAAATTGCTTCTTGTTCATCAAGATCTTATATGATAATCAAATTTGAGTTTGTCTGTCCTCATCTTCTATAAAAAATAAGATATGAAAGGTGTATTAACATCAACATCTCAACTAGGCTAGTGACGCAGTGTATGCTTGTTCTTTTCTATTTTATTATTTTATTTTTACTTTGGTATCACTGTTGTATGTATTCCCTTTATTAAATGAGTAATCAGACTAGATTCCAACAATTGTTACTTAGTTTATTTCTCTTTCACCTAAATAAGTTAGATCACAATCATTTCAGCTATAAAGAATCACGCAACGTTATTATATAGGAAAATTGTATTGTTTTAACAATACCATGTGCAATACATCTTTGATAAGGTCTACATCTTTAATTTTCAATTTCATTTAAACATAAATAAAGGTTTACAATTACATTTTGACCGTCTTTTTTCTTTTATAGTTTTTCTAACCAGGCTAAGAATCTCAATCTGATCTTTTTATAAATTACTCCACCAGATAATTACTTGTTCAATGAACAATTATCGATAGGAAGGACTATTTTTCTTATTTTATTTTGCAACAAGGAGAGACTAGACCCTAAAACAACCAAAACTACACTGGAACTCTACGAGGGAAAGTTACCCCAACACGATCATTAAACAAAAGATTCCCATATTTCTTGTACGTACTTCTCCCATACACCAAAGTAGTTCATGATTCAAGTTTGTTCATTCCTCTAAATTTTGTGGTCATTATAGCTTAGTTTAGTTCTAGTAATTTGAACATGAAATATTGTGATATTCAAGAGAGAAAAATTGGCAATTAGTTCATTAAATTATTAAAAGAACATTTCATTATATATTATCATAATTATATGATGAAAATTTGAAAAGTAAAATCGAGAAATTAGAAAACGTAACGGATGAAAACTAGAGATTTAGGGAACCAACTTTCTGCATTCAGCAATACTGGCAACCAAATGAACAATCTACAGATACTTGTTATACACCTATGCCTGCCTTTCAGCTGTAGTCATGCTTAGATGTTCATTGGCACAGGTCTGAGTGCTGATGTGCATAACTAGCATTACAATTTACATGCAGAGTTTTACGTAGTTCTAAGTAACTACGAAAAGACTGCTTGTATTTAGGTACTATACCCGAAGCGAGTTGTCAAAATTTGTCGGATGCTAATTTTATTCTGAAGTCCATCAAGTCCTTTATTTTCAACTAAATAATCAAAGACTTCGTAAAAACAATATTAATTTAGCAGAGCAGATTCCGAAACTTGAGCCTGCACATTCCAAACCACAAATACAATACGGTCATTTCTAATCTTATACAATTTTCCACCAACACTAACTACAAATTTAAAGCAACGGTCAACAATAAACAAAAATGTATTCCCGCTTGGATTAAGACTTCCTTGCAAAATACATAAGGAAATTGATTTAATGACTTATCTAATCCAGAACATTAAAATTTCAATGCTCTCATTTCCTTTCAATAAAAGATTTAACCCTTTCCATCCATCTTACAAATTCTGCTTTATCCTTGTGTTTCATGTACTGATGCAAGAAAATGGCAAGTGCATCATTTATACCCCTTACTTCCAAGAAATCATAAAGGCTATCTTGCAAATCATCATCCAATTCCCTGTCAAGAAACAACAGTAAAAGGTATTAACACAATTATAAATCTAGCAATCATTCTAAAATTTAAACTAACAACTAGGCGTGGAAATGAATGGGTAAACAACCTGAATTCAGGACCAAAATAGGGCTCAGCTAGCATCTTATCGTTCGCACGAATGAACAGCTTTGTTATTTCTATACTGTCTGGCCAAGCAGAACACGTGATTTCCAGCACGCCGCCATCTCCTTTGGAGATGTTGACAATTAAGGTAATGTGCATCTGCATTTCATCTGAATTAGCCTCATCACCATTTTCTCTTGGAGCAGGAACAGCTCCATCAAACATGGTGACTTCAATTTTAATGTCTTCATCTGCATAGTGTCTCTTCAATGTAATCCATCGCTCCCCAGGTCGACCATCCACAACAAAGGAATTAAACTTGGCAACAGGCTGCAAGACAAGAACAGCCCTATAAGTATTCATGCCCAAAAGCACAACTTCATCAAATCCAACCAAAGTTAGAAAATTTCCTCAAATGATGTAGATTACAAGGAAAATTATCAGGAAAAAAACCTCATTGATATAAAACACAACCAAAACTATTAGAGAGAAAAACATCATCTACTGATTTCCATCAAAACATGCAGTGTTCAAGAACCTAACAGCTAGTTTGGCCAAGCATTTTAGGGGTTCTGAAACCTTCAAGTTTTTTTATTTTGCATAGTTCTATAAAAAAAACATAGGCAACTCGATGACCCTTTTCTCCCTTGATCAAGACCAATTACAGATAAGACCATGAATTACGAAAATCAGAAAACTGAGAAGTGAGAGGGAAAAGAGAAAGAAAACGAACATGGTTGGGAGGAGAAGATTGGAGCTCGTACTGAATCTCGTTGCGGAGAAGTCTCAAAATGTTTCCCTCGAAAGCTGATTTGCTCATGTCGGAGATGTAAGTTCTCCGGAATAGCTGGGGACAAATTCGTAATTGCTGCTGCTGAAGCTGAAATTGGTGTGTTAGGGTTAGGGTTTTTCTGAGGGAACGAAACAGACGTGCCATTGAACACACACAGTGTAGGAACTGGGGAACAAAAATGCAGGGTTTAGAGGAAAGGGTTTAAGAAAAAAAAATTCTCGAATAAGAAAAAAAAAAACACATGAAAGGTTCCCCAAAAAATGCAGATTTTTTTAAAAAAATTCCGAAGTTTTTATTTTAAAAATGTGTCTGAAGGTATTATTTAAAGAATTAATAATAATTTTTTTTTATTAAAAAATATTGAAGGATGTGTATTTGATAAAAGTTTTTACTTTTAATTTTTAACTAATATCGTTGTAGCATTTTCTCCCTTTTTATTTTTATATAACTTTTGGGATAAACAAAGAAAAAATTGAAAATTATTTGGATCAAGTCAAAAGAAAAGAAAAATAGATGCCTATTTCTAGATTATTTAGTCATAAATAATTTCAGAACAATTTGGGCCAGGCCAGTCTTATTTGTTATGCAGGTCAGGCCTTATATGAAACAGGCTATAAATTCTCGATTATTAGTTAACCTATATATTTTTTCACTCAAAAAAAAGTTTGACCTATTTTTTTAATTTTTTGAAGATAATTTAAAATATTTTAATATTTTATAGAATTTTTTTTATTCATTTTCAATTAATAGAGTTGATGAGAATCTAAATTAAAATAATAAAGGTAAAATGTTGATAATAGAAATAAGTTTAATGATATATGAAGATAAAATTATTATATTATAATATTTTAAAATAAAAATTCATTAAATTTGACTCTTTTTTTTTTTAGCTTATGTAATTTAGACTGAGCTTGTGAATAAATTCTTAAAAGAGAAAAAAAATAATATAAAAACTGAAATAAAACTGTGTCTGCCAAACCCAATGAGAAGGGTGGATAGCTAGGAGATGGGGTTAACACTGAAAAAAATATATATAAAAAAAATTAATTTAGGAAACTAAATAAAATTAAGCAAAAAGATTTAAAAAGGGCCACGCCGAAAGCCAAATTGAACGTATAAGATGAAAATATAAATTTTACCTAACTTTTAATCATTCTAGTTCTATTTATAAAATTCTTTCAACTAAATCAAATAGATTAAAAAAACTATTAACATTAGTTAACGTCTTGAACTTTAAAAAAATAATTACAACGTTCTAAAATTATTTTTATTCCAAGGCAAACTCTTATCATAGTAATTGCCGAGAAGTTTGAAAGTATTAATATTTATAAAAGATCAATGAGAAAAATAATAAATGCTTTTGAAAATTCGTAAAAATCATATATTTAGAACCATAACAAATAAAAATAAAAAGATCATATGAAAAAGATCCAAAAGAGTACGGTAAAGCGAACACTTCGTACGTGTTGTTCAGATTTCAGTGTTCAGATTTCACAAAAGAGCACGCTCACCTGAATATCCTAACATAAACTCTACATTTTTTGTTTAATAATCATATCCCATGAATATATTTGGAAGAATTTAAAAATTCATATGGTTCTTCCTACATGTGTTCAGAATGCATTCGTCATTAGTGAACTTGTAAATTCGAAACCATGCATGTGGTAATCGATGGAAAGAATAAAAAATCAAACAAAACGCCGTATACCAGTTACTATTTGGAAAGAAACAAAGTGCACTGTCTGTGATAAAGAGTACCATAATTTAAAGTCAAAAAATAACCTGCCTCTTCCTAAGGAAATGCCATGCATGATACATCCAAAGTTTACTCCACAAGACATTCAAAATGATCGTAGCTTAGAAGAGATCTATTAATTTACTGGATTCTTACATGATTGCAGGCAACATAAAGCCCAACAAGGAGTTGCTTTCAAGCTTCAAATAACTATTCATTTTTTAAGAATTTCAATGAAAAGCCGTACAGTTTCTGATCAATTATGTATATTGACATCAAAATTTTCTTAAGATCTTAGCACCTTAAGAAACCCCACCACTTTGATTCTGGCCTTTGGGATCCGGAAGAGGAGAATTTGAAGTAGTCACTGAACCCTTGTTCTCCTCATTTGGAGTAGCTACTGAACCCTTGTTCTCTTCATTTGGTGCAGAATTGGTGGTCTTAGTGTCCTTTGGTGCAGAAGAATTTAGTTGTTTTTTCTCATCATCAGTCGCCAGATTTTTGGCTTGGTTGTTGCTTGATTGTGTCTTTGTTTCAACCACAATCTCCTTCACAGCCTCTTCAAGTTTCTCAAGTCTCACTTTCACCTCTGAAAGCTCGGGATCAGATTTTTCTTCCTTTTCCTCAGGAGGGTTTAGCTCCATTTCCTTTTCTTTTTCTTTTGCTTCTTCTTCTTCCTTCTGCTTCCTTTTCTGCTCAACTTCCTACAAAATCATTTAGAGAAAAACCATTATAAAAATGAGTGCTATTGATCCCACTATTTAAATGTTTAAATTACAAGGTCAATTTGATATACAGATAAAAACCCAGAATTTTTTGTTCAAAAAGTACCAACAAGTAACTGGTCCAACAAAAACATAAATATAATCTAGGAAACTCCAAAGGGTTTCCACAAAGAGTACTTTAGGCAATTGGTCAGATTATGAAGAGGAACAAGATGATCATAACATCAGCATCCTACCAACATTTATATGATCCTTGAAATGAACCCTTATGTAATTATGTTACCATAATAAGGAAAGAAAACTTACCACCTCCATTTTTCTCATTTCATAACGAGCATACTGCGCCACCAAATACACAGCTGTTTGGAAAGAACTTACTTAGATGATAGCAGTAGAACTTTTTTTGGGAAATAGTAAGGTTGATAATAGAAGACAAAAGAAAGCTGAGTATCATACCCAACGAAGGCAAGCAGGCAAAAAAAAACTGTACAAGATGGAAATCAAACCTGGCCAAGAAAAACACAGATGCAAAAGTAAGAATATTTTTCACCTATCAACAGTATTAACAAACACAATAATAATATTCCTATAGCCTCTGATATTGCATGCATGGGTCATTTTAATAATTTTATCTCTGATTTTAGAAAATGCCATTTTTCACTTCCTTTTTCTTGTGAAAAATATATCAGTTATTTTATAATTCAACCACAAAACTTCGCTTTAGGCTCTAATATTACTAAAAACACATTAAGCACCAATGTGGATGATTTTTTTCTGTAAAAAAAACTGAAAAGGGTTCCTAATTGCGGTGTTGTGCTGGGAAGGTGCTCGACGAAATGCCACTGAGAGAAAACACATAAATGAAAGAAAGGGAATAAGAAGGGATACCCAAACTTCTTCTTCTGAGGAGGATCGGTGAAGAGGATCTTAGCGGCAGTCATCATGTCGAGATTCTGTAGCTGCCGATACCTTTCATCAGCAATGTTAACGTTGTTGTTGTCGGTGCTGTTGGTGTTGTTCTTAGCTGTAGTGCAAAAGGAACTGGTTCTGGCGTTGGTGGAGACTGATGTTGTGAGGAACCTTAATCGCTCCGAGAAGCGCAACCACTTTCCTCCGCCGCCAAACATAGATTGATCACAGAAAACATCAACCACGTATAATAGTGATTTTTCTTCCTTATGCTATACAATAGACAAACATTTTTTGCTTCCTTAGTAAACTCAATAAAATTAATTATTTTTTAAAAGACTTCGTTTAACCGTAAGTAACTGACTGAATTATTATTTAAACATGTGATGTATCCCTGCTCATAAATTTTGAATGTACTATACAAGAGAAAATGTGTAAAACTTTAAATTTACTTACAATTGATTACTGGTCTCTGCATTGTAATTAAATTTATAAAAAGAGCTTAATCTCTATGTTTAACAAATTGTTCAGACTTTACTATTTTATTATACAATTAATTTACTATTATATATAATTAAATTCTTTTAATTTTTAATTTATTATAAATTTTTTTGTGCATTATATGAATATTTATGAATTTAAATAAATTTTATAAATAAAAAATTAAGAATAATAAATATCTTTATTTTGATAATAAATTTTATCATGCATTAAATATAAATAAATTCAATAATTTTTTTAAAGTAGGAATAAATTACAAAAAAAAAATATTAAATTAATTGATGTCATCTTTAAAAATTAAATTTAAATAAATAAAAGTCTGTTAATTTACTAAAAGAAAATTTTGTCACTTTCTAAATTTCCTTCTTAAATTAAATGATTTAGAGAATTAATTTAATTTAATTCTACGGTTGAAATTTTTATAAATATAATTATATTAAATATCAAAAAATAAAACTTTACCTTCTTTTAATTTTTTTAATATTAGAACTTTTTTTTCTTTTATTAATTGATCTCTTTCTTTCCTTTTCAGCCTTCTAAATTTCGTTCTTAAATTAGAAGCTTTTCTTTTATTAATCACTTTTTCTTTCTTTTTTAATACTTTTTTATTTTATTTATTTTTTAAAACTTGCAAACAAACTCTAAAAACATCATTTCATTTTAGAAACTTAAAGTCTTCTTTTCACTACACTAGTTTGTATTTTAACAATCTTACGCTTGTTAAAAAAATTAGATTTGTTGAATATCTTTATTTAAAAAAACTTAATTATTTATTTTTTGTATTGTTAAGGATTCCATGGAGGGTCGTGCGAAATTGTGAACGAGAATGGGAGATAAATTTATCCTAACCTTGTATGGGTGTTATTTTATTTTTTTAATAATGTTACTCAAATTGGATAGGATAATTATGAGTGTTATCATTATTTGATATAATTTATTAATTAAAATTTAAATAAAATAAAACTATAAAAATTATTTTTAAAATGCTCAATACAAAAACTAATAAGAATAACAATAATTCTTATAAATATTATTGTTCAAGAATGCAGATTTAAACTTATAACATAGAAATGAATAATTTTAAAATAAAAAATTGATAAAATTAGAGAGTGGGCAAAATAATATTTTTCAAAAATATTGGTAAGGACAGCAAAGCAAGAAAACACAAACTTTTATAAGTACATGACTCAATTTTATTTGGGAATTTTATATTTATGATGTGGATAAATTTCATAAAATTTACTAAAATTATCATTTAAAACGTCTTAGTAAAATATAAATGCATTAAAAATATATAGAACCGTTGTTTTATTCTTAAAAATAAAGACTTACATTTATTATATGAAATTGAATAATTTTTAGAATTTCAAATAGAAAATGCCAGTCCAATTTAACCGTAATTCCCCAAAAGTAATTGCTTCAAACGTTAGAAAATGAAGTCAAATTAAGGTCATTCGCCTTGATCCATTAGAATAACAAATCCATTTTCTGTGATCACTCTTTCTTATTTATACTGTTACACATTCTTTGCTGATAATTTTATTCGAACTGGGATATCAAACCTTTTATTGCCCCCAAACCGGTTGTGGAATATCTCAATGTCTGTTTAAAAATTGACATCACGAATCTCAAGCAAATGAGATTAGAATTTGTTGGTGTTATTATTTACCACATCCACGTGAGGGCCAAGTTTGAGTCTACGATATGCATGATTATGATCACCATAAACAACAAAGGAATGAGAGAGGCCTAATTATAAACTGCTAAATACTACCACTTTAGGAGGTCAAAGTCAGTGTCTTTTCTATCTTGTTCACCTCACTTGACTTTGGAAAGAAGGGTAGATTCCAAAAAGACAAGTATGAGTTAGTGTGATTCATAACATTAACACTGTCATAATCCTAATTAAACTATTTAATCACAAAAATAATCGTTAACTAAACCCATTATCATATGTTTAGACCCACTTCCCCTTTTCCCCAAAATCATGATGACCTTCCCTTTTTCTTTACTTTAAGATCAAAACTCCACTAAACACAATTCATATATATATATATAACATGGAACCCCCCCCCCCCCCCCATACGCCACAATTATGAGTAGACGTTACTTTCTTGTGTCCTATGAATTTTTTTTCTAAAAATCAGATCTTACATCCAAGACCACCAGCTCATGCTCAGGCAAAACCGTAATTTCGCCCCAAATTAGGGGCATTCATGTACAAAAACTCCAATTTATAAATACAGTTATATGTGTATGTAACACACTATACTTTGAATGAACGCACACGCACCGGCTACACCAGCCGCCGGTGGAACCCATTAACAAGCAGAAGAAGCTTCCCATTATCTTCTTCCTCTTCTTCTCGTTCTCCATTTTTTTTTTCTTCAAAATTCAGATTCCCAATTGGGAAAATAATATATCTTGGGAAACATTCAGAGGAAAAAGCCACTTCACTTTCATTTTCCACTGGGCTCTGCTTCTTCCACATGAAACGGACAATGAAGTAGTTACCGTTTCGGAATCAAAACGACGCCGCAGAATGCTGCGCAGGAAAAGCTCCAAAAACGGCGTCGGTTCGGGGGGATCGGTGCCGGTGTACCTCAACGTCTACGATCTGACACCCATCAACGGTTACGCTTACTGGTTCGGTCTCGGAGTGTACCATTCCGGCGTGCAAGGTTCGTCGTTTTTCCCTCATTCTCTACCCCTTTTGAATCTGCACGAGGACCCACTTCAGATCTACGATCTGTGAGATAAATCGGATGATGGGTCTCTCTCTTTCTTATTTATTCGAATAAAAATTCATTTTTTTTAGTTGGGTCAGTTTACGGTGTTGAGTTCGCGTTCGGGGCTCACGAATATTCGTCGACGGGGATATTTGAAGGGGAACCGAAGAGGTGTGAAGGGTTCACTTTCAGAAAAACGATACTAATCGGAAAGACGAGTATGGGTCCCGGTGAGGTTAGAGCGGTGATGGAAGAGCTTGCTTCTGAGTACAAAGGGAATGCTTACAATCTCATCACTAAGAACTGTAACCATTTTTGCAACGATGCTTGTCTTAGGCTCACTGGGAATCCTATTCCTAGTTGGGTCAATCGTCTTGCTCGAATTGGTAAGTGATAACTCTCTACAAACATACCAATGCAGAATTTTAGTGTCTATTATTATTCTTCGTTGAAATTTGAAATTTGAAATTTGAAAGCCTGTTGCTGTTGTGTTGGTTGATATTGGGTGATTTGATTGTGTTTGCAATAAAATATAATATTGGGTGATGTGGAAATTAGTAAGATGTCAAGGTTGTAGCTAATAGCGACTACGATGGGCATGCAATGTTTAAAAATCATCCACATGGCATCAAAATTGGAATTTGTTTTGTAGACTATGGAAAAAGAATAATATAAATGAAAAGGTAATATATAGAATAGAAGGAATAAAAAGAATTTACTTTGGAATCATATTTGTCAGGTGCAACCCCATGTCATGCAAATGGATACGGAAAGTTCAATGAGAATGAAAACGACCTTAAATTTAGATTTATCAATTTCACGTGATTGATTTCATGACTGAGTGGGTTGTTGTTGTGGTTGGGATGCAGGATTTTTGTGCAATTGTGTTCTTCCTGTGACTTTGAACTCAACTAAAGTTAGGCATCACAGGATAGAAGAGAAGCAATGTGAAGGAGAAAAGCAAGCATTAACCAAAGAACCCAACAAGCTTATTGGTTCAAATTCAACATCTTCAACCTCAACTTCATCTTCCCCTGCTTCTACCTCTGGGGTACGCAGAGGAAGGAGTAGAACTAGACGTGCCCTTGCCCCGTCTTCACCTTTGATTGTTGGGTCTTCACCATCTTGATTACCAAAATCTGAAAATCTTTTTTTTTTCTTTTTATTTTGTCCAGTTACAGAAGTTGCTCTAACGAAGAAAGGCAACAAAACCAATTGAATTTTCAATTTTAAAAGAAAATTGTTATTCTTCATTCTTTACATCCAAATCCAATGACATTATAGAAATTAGAATATATATAAATTAAAACCAGCCACGAATCCCGGAAACCCATTGGTTATTTATTTATTAAATTAAAAGAGGACCCACCTTGTAGAAAAAGTTGTTCCTCCCATGTAGACGAGAGGGAAAGGAAGCAGGGTACGTTACACTTTTTACACGAATTTTATTATTTTAACCTATGCTCTTATTTTATGATATTAATATCAGGAGTTCGAATCTGGACATACTATGTCAAACATGGTAGAATTATTTTTTCGACATAGAATTATGGTATCTGAATATTATCAGATATTGAGTATAAATATTGTATTGTATAAATGTATTTAAGAAACGTTTTTTCTATATTAAGATATTGGATAACTAAATCAGATATTGGGTGTGGAATTTGACTGGATTGACTTTTTTTTTCTCTATATTGTCAGTGTTAACTTAAAAATATTGTCTAAATCTATTTAAATAATCTGTTTTGTAAGTCAAATATATTATAAATTTGTTTAGAATTATAACTTGCTAGATTTATATTATAGAATTTGTAAATTTAATATATATGTATTAAATTTATTGATATTATTTTAAAGAATAGTGTATTATACATATAAACAAATTTCATACCGTCAAGCCTCCAACTTTTTGGTTCTGAAATATATTTAGTATTAAAACAAATCCTAAAATTAAATTATATCTAAGTTAAAATTTGAGGAATATGCGGCAATTTATTAGTTTTTTGTGTTGCTTGAATCAATGCCTATTTAATTTAAAGTTAAGAATAATAGATTTAAACAAAATTTATTTTAACAAATATTATTGAGATACATATATAAATTTATTTAAAATACATGTTTTTATTAAAATGTGAGAGAATTAATTTTCGAACCATTAAATTGTTTACTATCAAACAAAAACGAAAATTATAATTTTATGTTCATGAGAGTGGGTGAAGTGATAAGACTGAACAACTTTTTAAAAGAAAAAAAAAAGTCTTAGATATTATTCCTTTCGACAACTTTTCATTTATGTGTATTTTTAGTGTCTTTGTTGGGAAACAATTGTATTTTTCTTTTTGCTCTTAAAAATTATTATGTTTAAAATGATGATGGCTAATTTAAGCTATATTGCAATAGAACCGACCGAGTCTCTTTGCAAGCAGACGTTATCTTTTAGATTCTGTCGAAATCGTAAATGATGATGAACTAATGACAAATTACAATGGCTCTGATTCATCCTCTGTTGCACACATGCTGGGATGCATAAATCATACAATGTAGAAGCCATTGCTAAGCAGTGAGACTACATAAGTTTGGTGCTGTCATTTTCTGTCAATCTCTGTCCCTATATTTCATTTTCTTTTTTTTAGGGTCATGACTTTTGCTATTTGGACATTCCACTTTTTCCTCCTTAGGCACTATTGGAGTCAACAAAGCTGGAAGTTGGAACAACAACTTTTGACTAGCAATAATGGACTCAGTGAAGCAAATAGCATTACACAGTTTTCACTTCCCTCCTTTTTTCCAAGTAAAAAATATGGCTAACAATAAGAACATGCTCAAGCAAGTAAGTCCACTATGCTTCATTAACCTATATCTGTGTATTACAGAACCAACCTAACAGTTGACATTTGTTTGACACTATTTTGACTAAGCTGATGATAGGATAAGTTTAATCATACAGCTACTTTGAACTAATTTAACGTGGAAATTGGAAATTCAACGACCGTAAAAACCGTTGTACTAGAATAATTTGAAGCATAAGAAACGTTAAAATACAAATTTTTAACACACTTTTTTAATACATTACACCTTATACCCTTTCATGATATATCGATGTGTAAGAAAATTTGTTTCCATCTCTGTACTACAAGCCGGTCAAGTGACATGTAAAATACCAAATCCTACTATGATGTGAACTTTGAACATGTAACATGTTCCAACTCATGCGTTCAAAACTTTCCCTCTCATGTTAAGTTAGAGTGCGTTGAAATTAAAACACAAATAATTCAATTAAACGTTGAAGGACGCAAAACATACTAAGAACTTTGAGATCAAGTATTGCACTTTCGACAATAAATGTTTAGATATTGATGTTATTGAAAGTGAAAGTAGTCTTACCAACACACACTCTTATTAATTAAAATTTAATAAAAAAAAACGTAAATTATAAGTGAACCTCATTAAAGTGACAATAAAACCCTCATAATTTAGTAATTTCTTATAGATTTTAGCTAATAAAAAAAAGTGTATTAAGAAGAATGTGTAAGAAAATATGCTTGTAACATTTCTTAAAGTAAAAAAGTTACATCATTTAATGAAAAGTATTTAAATAACTCTCTAATTTATTAAACTAATATTTTACCAGCATCTTAACCATCTCTTTTCATTTTCATTTAAAGAAATGTTCTCGCTTGGAAGAGTCCAAATCCGACAGAGAATGTAGATGTCAAGCAAGCCCAAAAGTACAAACAAACACGCTCGAACAGGGGTAACAAAGAACAATGTAATTGTATATAATTACGACAACATACTAAATTAAGTTCAATAAAAACTCTTATGTATGATAAATAATGTTGGCCTTGACAATGATAAAAATGTAAAAGGTTGTTTCTAGCCTCAACTGCACCAATGGCATACAACATAAATTTTAAAGAGGCGTAATAATGGTTTGTTTAAAATGCCCAATAAGAAGCTGGGCCAACAAAAAAAAAACAATAACTTTGTTAAGTACAATAAAAGAGCCACAAGGCATCTATCTGATTTAGTTGCACCAGTTGGAGCGCTGCCAACAAAGCCAATGAGCATAAGTTAGAACGTAAATTTGAAATTTCACAAAAATAAGAATAATGCACAACTGCTTAAAACATTTCATGAACACACACATACCAATGATTGCAGTACAGAGAATCCGGTGGCTTATCAGATTACTTTTGCTTTTCTCGCAACCATTCAACAAAATTATCCAGGATCAAAGGCCACGCAAGGTCAGGATCATAGTCATTAAGCATCGGAAAACTTATCTGAGAAGCGATGAGATTTTGTAAATCGGTCAGAATTTTGGAAAAAAAAAATGCTAATTAGAATACTAGCTAAGGAATAAAAGGCAAAAAAAAGGTTAGAAAATGTTATTAATGCTTCTCTTCCCATAATTTCCAATGTATTTAAACGTAATTTTTCATGAAAAAAATATTTTTAATTCCTTAGGTAGTGCTTTTAAAGCACTCGTTAGCAAGACCAAAAAAAATGGACCCAAAGAAAGTACAGAAAAGCAAACAGTTATGTGCCCATTTGGTTAATATTTTGGTAGAACTGATTTTAGACTGTTGAACAAATCTCAGTCAGAGATTGATTCTAGCTTCTAGGTGCTAATTAAACAAGCACTAAGAAATTAATGGTGTTACAACAGATATGTATTCATCTTAAGTGCTCATTTGAAAAGTAAATAATACGACATGAGATAGGTGCATCAACACGCAGCAAGAGATTAACTAAACTGCGAGATCAGTACTTTGAGCGAAAAAGGGCTAATAAATATATCTCTCTTGATAATTAACATAAAATCAATCTAGAAGTAGAAGAAAAAGAGGCTACCTCATTGCAAAACCGAAAAAATCCCATCCATTGATCCATGTTTATGACCTTGTAATCATTTTGAGTCTGCCACATAATACAAATATGTAAAAATAACTAGTAAGAACAAAAACAATAATGTAAAACTCATAACTCACCTTTAAGTATTCCACAAATGAGTTGACTTGAGCTGGAAACGTTGAACCCAGAACAAGAATAAGTAATTCACAAATGCTCTCTATATCAATGCTTTTCTGTTTCTCCTCTGGTAAAATTGGAAAATTAGATGGACATAAAATGAATGAACAAAGATAAAGGAGAAAACTGTGAAAATTAGTAGGGGCAAAATCACTTCACAGTTTACCTGTTAAACAATATTGGAAAGCATAAGAATAGAAATCTGCAAAATTGGAAGGTCTCCTGACCTTCACATTATATGTCAAATTAAAAAAGTTAGCAATTAATAGAATATTTCCAACACAAATGAGTAACGATTGCCATAAATTGAGCTGTCCATGAATTATCTATACCTCTTTTTCTAGGTCTGGGAGTGCCTTCTTCAATTTACTTACTGTATCAGCCCTTAGTGCTTTTAAGCCTCTCCTCCACTCATCCTAAAAATATTTTGGATTATGTGAGTGATTTCAGTACAAGGATGTGGAAAGAAAGATAATACCGTAACTACATGACTGTGTACCAAACATAAATGAGACTTAAGTATTTGCCTACTTTGGTGGGCTTGAATATCTCTGTGTGTGTTTGTATTTAAAAAAAAGAAAAGCTGAAATATTTTTTTTTAAAAAGTTGAATGAACAATGAGCATGATAACATTCATACCAAGGTAAAATATCCTTGCTCCCCAGCTTTCATTTTCCTGTTACATTTAGTATTCATCAACTCCAAACACAAACTTAAGATAAAGATATAAGAATATGGTATTGAATGACAACTAAGGGTAGCATTGTAGCTTACCATGCAAGCATCAAAATCCTCACATCAGTATGATCCACTTCCATATCAGCACAAAGTGTTTCAATCCCTTCCGGACTGCAATTAAAGTTATTAAAATATGATGAACCCATTTTAAAAAATGTAAACATGTTTACATAGTATGTACATTAAAAAAAGACACTTACACAGTAAGAATCCACTCATAGAATGAAATCACACTGATCAGAATGCAATTCCCCTGAATAACACCTATAGAATTCCAAGACATAATAAAGTTCAATCGCTCCTAAATGTCCCCATCTAATTTAAGAAACCACCATATGTGACATGAATAGAATAAGAAAAAGTGGGCTAAAATTGCCAGAGCACACTGCTGCTAGAGCTTCTGACATTCACCACCACACTTGTTTCACATGCCAGTCCACGCCACCACTGTCAAAGGACTTCTGACACCTAGGTGAGTGTAAATGATTGCAATTGGGAAGTACAAGATGGAGAAAAATGTGAAGGAAAATGTTTCTCACTGGAAGCATATGTGGCTGTCCATCACCAGTATGCAACTGTTTGACCACAGGGGAACTGGTAGGGGACACAAAGAATGTGAAGGGGTGAAGTTGTACAAAGTGAGGGAAAAAAAATTTGGCCCAGGCTTGCAGTTTTGCTGTGAGAAATTGGTGAGATGCCAAAGCAGATGGATGATCGGCAATGCATAAGGCTATTATAGTCATAGTAGATGTCAAATGTACTATTAAGTTGCTTAAACTATGCACACCAAATGCCAGATAGTGTACCAGTTTATCAAATTCTTTATACTATCAAGGCTTATCTTACTAATTTATACCATGATGTTTATCCTACCAGGTATAAGGTGTACTGCATGGTGATGGAGCCTAAGAGGACAAATACTTCAGTATAATATGACTAGGGATTTGTTGTCATTTTATCCATGCATATAGCCGTGTAAAAGCTGCTTGCAACCACTCATGAAATTCACCAAGTTATATTAAGTAAGCTATAACAGTTTATTCACAACAGTAAGTAACCATCGGTCGAATGCTATTTACCCCATAAATCCATGTCCTAGGTTTAAAAGTTGAACCAACAGCATAATTTAATTTGATTTATACATATTGAATGGAAAAAAAGAAAAGATCTTAGATGAAGTACACTTACTCAATCAACCCAGTAGACCCATTGCCATATGCATAAAATAGACTATCAATTCGTTCTGATTCCTTTGAGCTTGCCTTACTCGAAGCTGAAAAAAGATGCTTGTATGATTAGAATATTGAACAATTAATTGTCCACTACAAAAGTGCTTGCTTAAAACATACATGATTTAAAAAACATATAAGCAGGTTCAGAGACTAGTAATTTCAATGTCCCATATGATAACAATCCAAGTACATAGAATGCAACTCTTGACAGTTGACACCAAGGCATCGATGACCTAGTGTCTGCGAGTTTGATCCTAACACTCCATTCTTCAATTAGAGTTTTATTGAACCTGTGTCGTCCAAGCTTGAAATGTTTGATCCTCTATCAGTCTTTGATTGAAGGAATGCTAAATTGCCGAGGGAAATAAATCTTATTTTATTTTCCCTTAAGATCTAAAATCTTTTAGTAAGGATTACTATGCTGCTCCTATCCCACTAGTTCTTACCAACTACCACAACCCTCCAACCCCACCTAATCATAATAGGAAAAAATTCTTAAAATAAATAAATAAATAACCTTCTCACTGAAAATTCAAAAACAAAAACCAAAAGTAGTTTGCAGTAAATCAACTTGAAACCATTAATATAAACCCTAAATAACCATGAATTGAATTATTAACAGAGAATGAAAAAGGAAAAAAAAAAGTAAAAGAACAAGCATGGGCACAGGAGAAAGCAGCAAGCTTTAACATGAACAATGAAAGAAAAAGTAAAATTGGGATATGGGAATGTGATAGCGATGAATACCGGAGCGGAAGAGATCGGCGGCGGTGGAATTGGCGTTGGGAGTGGAATTGGATTGACCCGTCTTTTTGGATGCAGAGCGTCGCATCTTCAATAAGAAATCCAGAGGGAAAGACTCAGAGAGAACGATTTTGAATCGAACGAAGGATTGAAGGCAGAGAGAAAAGGGGTTACACGTTTTCTTCTCCGTTCTTCTTTTTTCTTCTTCTCGGAGAGGTTGAGGATGATGACGTGGATCTGAAACAGGCTTTATAATTGTGGTGTTGGTGTCTACCTTGTTTCGTTTATGTACTTCGTACCTTTCCATTCATTTGACTTTTTTCGATTTTAATATTCCTACGTCAGATCAGTAAATACTCTTTATTCAATGCCCAAATACGCCAGTAAATGCTTTTTTTAATTTCGCATTAATTATTTTAAGAATTTAATTTTAATATATTATCAGTCAACATTTTTTATATTAATTTTTATAAAACTTAATTGTTTTCTTGGGTATTAATTAGTTTTTTTTAGGATTTGTAAAGAAATTAAGATTTTATTTTTTAGGATTTATGAAAAAAGGAAGATTTTTTTAGAGTTTAAAAAATTAGTATTTAGGGTTTTTAAAAGGATTTTTTTTGGATTTGTAAAAAAAAAAAATTTTTAGCTTTTAAAAAATATTTTTAATGAATTAGATTTTTTAGTATTTAAAAAAATAAAAGAAAATATTTTTTAAGGATAGAGTTTGCAAAATGACAAGAGTTTTAGGGTTAGAAAAAAAAAATCAAAGTTTGAAAAAAGACTTTTTTTGGTAGAAAAATATTTGCACTTGTAAAAATATAATTTTGAGTTTAGGAAAAGTTAGGTTTTTAAAAAAAGATAAAAAAATAATTTTGTTTATGATAAAAAATTAAGAATTTTGCATAAACAGAAGAACAAAAGAGCAGAACACATAATAATAAGATAAAGAATACAAAAAAAATAATAATAGAACGAAAAAACCTTACTTGATCTAGCAAATTAGAGTGTTTTTGTTGACTCCCTTGATAGTTTAGGATTCGCCACTTCACCTTTAGATTTATTATCTATGATTGACTTCAAGATATCTTTAAGAATATTTAGCTCATTTGCAATTGTTTCCTCTCCCTCTTTTTCAATATTCTTTGTTTCAAAAGCTTTCTTTGTTCTAAGAGTTTTGATTCTCTATGATCTCTCTCTTAGAGTTTTCTCTCTTTTCTTTCTCTTTCTTTCTTGTGTTGAAAAAAAGTTCACTCTTCTTTGTCGTCTTCTCAAAAAAAAGTCTTTTTCGTTTTGAGTATCCAAACTTTCTATTTATATTAAATTTTTAAAATCCTAAATCTCATTTATTTATTTATTTATTTATTTATTAACCAAAATATCTATCTATTTTAAATTTAAAATCTTAACCTCTTGTAGATCTAGAATTTAAATCCTATCTAATTTTAATTTAATTTAATTTAATTTTTGTTATTTTAAAATTATCTTTAAAAGGAGTTCAAATAAAATTATGTATTCACATATTTAAATTAACTTTTTTTTATTACATTTATCCTCACTCGATCTCAACTGATCTATAGTGTCAAGATTTTTTTTACTTTTGTGATTGCTTCATTCTACTGTGCCGAGTAAAGAAATTTATAGCTATATTAATCATAAAACTTTTCACTTTTGCTTCTTAATATCAACAATTTTAAAAGTAAGGTTATCATGTTCGAGTGAATCCCGCTGATGCCAAAATGATTAAAGCTCAATTTGAGTCTTTTTAAGTATTATAAGAGAGGAATTAACTCATAATGGCACGAACGGTTTATCATGGTTATAAAAATTATCACTGCTTCGAATTGCTATGATTTTAAAAGCATGCCTAATCCTTACTTTTTTTCTTTGGTTGCTGAATGTTAATTAACTTCAAACCCCACTTCATGGCTGTTTAGAAATAGAAACAAAGTATAAAACAAAAGTAAAAGTTATCCAAATTTAATTTCTAAAAAATACATATTTTTTACACTTAAAATTTTTATATTATATTATTTACCACATTATTTGTTTAGCTTTTTCTTCCTTCACCCACTTCACATTCATTAATCTAGTTACTTAAGAAGGAGAACCGCTTGCATTGTTTCTTAAAAATCTTTAGAAATGAGATGTGGGTGTCAAATTTGAGATATCATGGTTCTAACATTTTCAAGATAGAAAAGTAAATTCATCGTAAATATTTATCATTCACTTTAATCCGAATTTGGGCTTTGAACATAGAGCATAACAAATTGTTGGGCTTGAGTCTTGGTTTCAGTCCAGGTTGCGAGCAAAATGAGAACAAAAGTTTAGTTGCTTTGACAAAAAAAAAAGTTTTAGTTCCTAAGTGTCTATTTTGGAAATATATAAAATCATTTATTCTTACTATTATTATACATGTTCAAATATAAAATTAAATTTTTTATTAAAATTTATTTAAATATACATTCTACTTATGCTTAACGCTTTGAAATTAATTCTATCAAAATTAGTCTTATCAAATTCTAAAACAAATAGGCTTAAGATTCCTTTCTTTGTTATAGTCTAATGCTCAATCCATGAACCTTTGCACTGCTTGTGGGCCTAGAACCCATGAACAAAATTGTTTATAAAGGACTGCAGGACTTTATTCAACCCATGAATGAATGTTGACAAAACAAATAAAAATAAAAAATCAAATGAACAAAACCCATTAATTTGAAGTTTAACTGAATACATTATTCATAGGTGGTTTGCAATTTCACTAAAAGTTATGATTATTTGTAGCTCTAAAGTGAAGACATACCCATCACCTTGAACTCTTCTATGAGTTCTATCCACCAAATGAAAAAACTAGTGAGAGCAACTTGGAACATTAAATCATGAAGGAGTCCTTTTACGTGAGGACTTTACATAACATGCTTATGTCAGCAATTTATTTTTACTAGTTAAATATTAAATAAGTGAGACTGGGTTAATTTTTATGAAAATCTATAAAATAGACAAGTACAAAGTTTTTCTATATGTGAAATTTCAATATGAAAAAGCGAACTCATTAAATTGAGAACTCTCTGAACTGCAATTTATTAATTGCTACATTTACTCTTGAAAAAAGTGAATTACTTCTGCAAGAACCTTTTCTTACTACACCATGTAGTGTATTGGATGTTTTTCATGATACAACATGGTTGCTTAATTCATCAGCATAAAAAGTACATATATAATCATATCATGCATAGTATTTGAAAGAATCCCAATCGAAAGTTATAGACCCCACTATCTCAAAGAATTTGGACACTGAAACTAAACAAATTATATTGCCAAGATAGTGTAGTAGATCTATTTAAATTTTGAAGAGCCAAGGAAAATTAAGTACTTATAATTGGCATCATCACTCCCATTTGCTCAAAGTTATAATTATCATTTAATTGTACTCCTTTAGTACTAGATATTGCTAGTTCGGCAAACAGGTTAACAGTGATTAAAAATTTCACGCGTTGACACACAATTAAAAGCCGTACGTGGAGACTTCATCGTTAATGAAACTTCGTGAATGTTGTTCCATCCAATGATATTGTTATAATTGTTGTTATTACTCATTATTTGATCGATATACAAAATAATGCTTTAATTTTTTGCCTTACAAATGGAAGAGCTTTCTGGCTTTGTTATTATGATAATAATTAACACACAAGGTTGAACGAGGTTGGATGGTGCACATGTTCTGCTCCCTCAATAGCCATGTTATTCAATTATATAAATAAACAAAGTCAAGTGAATAATTAAATACGAAGATGCATTACGCATATGATAAGGACAAAAACAGTAGTAACATCATGCAAAAGATACGTCCCTTAGATATAGCCAGTGACGATAATAAAAAGCCTGAAGTTGGGAAAACATAATTCCATGCAATTAATGGCCCGTCATGTTGATTCCTTTCTATCTAACACTTTGCTTGGCGTATATAACTTATCATTAGCTTACTATTCTTCTCTTTTTTAGAACTAAGAGACATGTGTCTCACACAGTGTGTGTATATACATATCCAAAGGCCTGCTCCATAAAAACCTATTAAATCTTTCTGTAAAAATCATCTTCTTTCTTGTAATTGTTTGATACTATTAAGCTTTTATATTACATAAAATAAAATCAAAATGGATTATATATAGATATGTATCCAAAAATTAAATAGATGTTATAAGATTCTTTCTCTTACAATTTGTAATAGTAAAATCAAAAGATAAAAAATTTAAGAATAAGTGAAAAATAATGCTTAATGGATATTATATGGTTATAAAACTTTTATTTTTTTATATTTAAGATCAATACATGCATGGAAATTAAAGATTTATTCTATTAAAACATAATGTATTTTTAATTGTTACTTTTCTGAAAAATTTAAAAATAACTGCACAAATTTATGAAATTAGAAATTGAAGACATGAAAAATCAAGAGAAACATATACATGAGATAAATAAAAAGTTAATAAATAAAATTAAATGAAATAATAAATTGAAATATTTTTTAAATTATCAACAATTTGAGTGGAAGGAATTTTGTATCATGTATAGATTTTTCCATGAAAAAAAAATTGTGCTTTGCGCATAAATTATAATCATGCTAGCCAGTTAAAAGTAATTAATCATACACTTGCTAGATATTTATCTGACATTTTATGAATTAATATTGAAGATATGTACGACATGGTAAGGTATTCATATATAGAATATGTATACATCTATCTCTGCCTACTGCCGGCAGCTTTTTTGTCTCTTGTGTTAAAAGTTTTTTCTTAAAAAAAAGTGAGTAATTAATTGATAAAATAAAGTTATAACAAAAGAAAAATGATAATAAAGTTTAGAATTAAGTAATCTGAAATATATGCAAAGCTTTCAGCTAAGCTTGACAAAAGCATTTACAATGTCAACGACAGACAGACAACAGTAAGAGATGACTTCATATATTTTTGGCTCCTTAATTAATTTATCAAGCAATTATAATGTCTTTTCATCCTTCGTAGAGACCCCATCCCTATCTGAGAGGGATATATAAAAAAATTGTCTTTCAGAGCCAATTCTTTTATTATTATTGTTGTTGTTGTTAGAAAAGGACTGATAAATTCTATTGACTCTGCCAGCAGCATTTAGAAATAAACATAAAGTTTTTATGTGATTTAAACAAATCACTTATATTTATCACTAGATTAAAACATGGACGGTAATCTAAAAAATTCACATACATATGTTCGTAGCAAGATCATTATAAAATTGGCTGTACACGAAAACGCAGTCTGTGGAGGTTCATTGTAGTTGTTATACTATGCTTTTGGAGTGTTTAAAAGGCCGAATATTTTCCTTGATTTTATTTATAATTTTCATCTCAAAAAAGGTACGTAACCTCACATAATTATATATTTTATTTGGACGAATTTTACCAATAAAATTAATTTGAGATTTTTTCTACACAAATTGCCAACTTAAAAATTTTAAAACACCCAATACTCAATTACTATATTTTTGCCCCGACAAAGCGATTTTAGTTTCTGATTTCAATATTTAGCTTGTAGTGTTTTCACATCTACCTTTAAAACTTACGATTATTAGTTAATTTCACCAAAAGAAATAGTGTCAATAACACTTTACAGTAATTAACTTTATTAATGTAACTGTTTTTATATACTTTTCGGTATAAAAAACGTGTAAATATAAATTATAATTAAACATTTACAAAAATTGCAAATAATATTCCATCCAGATATTTTTTCGTTGCTACTTTAAAGAACAAAAAATAAAAAATAAAAAGTTGCATGCGTACATGCTCATCCCTCACAGGCTCTAATATGTGGACACTATATAACCAATAATGTACTCACATTAGACTATGTAATTGGTTCATGATATATATACACACACACATGCCTTGAACATATCTATGAAGTCTTGTCATTTAATAACAACTGGGTTCACTTCATTATTTTTTTACATACTCACTTTATTTTTGCTAGTTCACGTAAATACGTAATGATATGTAAAAAGTGTTTCTTAACAACAAACATTATTCTAAAGTAACATTTATATATATTGCACCTCCATAGCTCATGTTTTTCACACAACAACATACGTTTCACAGGGTGCATGAGCCTTATAAAATTATAATTTCCTTGGGGCTAGCAAGACCCAAATTTGCTTGGCATGTGTGGCTAACCTAAGCCTCGAGAAAATGAGTGAAACATATTAAACGGGTACAACGAAATATATAATTCATGCAAAAATGTTACTAACATGGATTGCCTAATGCAACAAATAGGAGGTCAAAAATAGCAGCTATTACCCTACAAGGCCCAGCTCGTGCCACCAAACCAAGCATAGGATGGGCTTTAAAATTACGTAAAAAGTAACACATACATAAATGTTCTCCTATATGTCAAACGCATGTTCAAATTTCTAATTCATTACTTTACACCTAACCTTAAGCTTCTCAATTACTTATTACGTGTGTGATAAGAATTATAAAAGAAAAGATTCCGTGCATCAAACGTGAATTTGAGTCTTCACCATACATTGTGGCCTGTGGATAGGTTTCCATGAAAGCTTTGATGTGAACCACGTATATGAGCTATGTCTACCAAAATCTTCAACATTTGCCGTCATATTGAAAATCAGGGATTCATATATATATATATATATATATAGATGTGAACAACTTGGGAAGACCATTATTAAATATTATAGTTAAAGTGCCTGTTTCGTTATACTTCTTTTTGAATTTGAATATCCTAATTGTCTTAGTTATATATAGTAATAGCTATAATATGTAGCTAATTGCATGCTGATTTTGGGGAGCGTGATGTGCAGTGTACTCAAATAGACGACAAGTACGTCACACTGAAACTAAGTCAAAGAGCTAGAAGAGTGTAAATTTAATATTATTAAGACTTTCGTATAGAACAACTTCGAACTAGCTAGTGAGTGTATATTCATTGTCCCTGACTTTAGGATATGTCTTAACCTTAAGAGGCACATCTCATTATGAAGTTTAAGTTTTTCTTTCCCTAAAAGGACAATTTCTTAACATTTCTCGTACTCCATGGTATTTTACAGTTAACTATCAATTCCAGAGTAGCAACCTACTTACAGATATGTACTCGATCAATAGCATCTAACTCACAAGTCACAACCTTGTGTGACACTGATAAGGAGTGGAGAAAAGTAAACTAGGCCATTAGAGTCACTCCAAATACAAAAAAGAAATGTGTTAGTTGTTTATTTAGCAGTGAGTGAAGACTATAATAATAACTTTTGTAAAGAGTAAGGATTGGTCATGATAAAGTTCATCGATATTATTCATGACACAATAAAATGGATCATGAGTGTTTGATACTCTTTTGGAGTTACTCTATTTATACGATCCGTGTAAATAGAGTTGGGAAATTATGATGCAACATGTGATGGGAAGTAAATAATAATAATAATAATGATGATGATAATAATAATAATAATAATAATAAAGTAACACTGCCATAAAATTACTCTACTTGAATGGAAGGCTAAGATGTGTCGTAGAAAAACCCAACTACAAAATTTTTACCTTTTCTCATTACAATTATTTAAATTTAATGCTTTTTAACTTCAAAATTTATTCACTAATTGAAAAAGAAAATATTACATGTACAATTCAACTGTCTGCATATAAAAATATCATTTTAAAAAAATTATTTATTTTTTAAAATAAATGTTTACAACATAACATTATTTTGGTTTAATTTGCTGAATTAGACACGTTTATCATCTTTTAATTAAAATTAACACTGTTAACAGAAAAAATGTAAATTTTTGAAACTTTACATAATAAAATATATTTGAAAAATATAAACTAATAGAAAGTATATCAAAATTTTCAGCCTCCACGAACTGTACCGCAATAAAAGGGGGTGTGAAACATTTATGTGGGCCATTAATATATAAATTGATAGCGGGCAAGGCTGTATAAATAGCCATTTATAAATCTAGCAAAGCTCCTTCTCCTTCACTTCACTTCAGTCACCTTTCCTCTCACAAACACGTTCGAGCCTTCAAACTTGAAGTTTCTCTTTACCTCATCATCATGGCAAGACCCCAACAACGCTATCGAGGAGTTCGTCAAAGGCACTGGGGTTCTTGGGTCTCTGAAATTCGCCACCCTTTATTGTAATTTACTTTTCCTTTCCATACCTAACAAAGTGATCACATAACGACACATGAATTTGCGTTTTTCTCTATTAAAGAGAATAAATTTGACAACACAATACGTTTTATGTTATTTTTACTTTTAAAAGCTCTTCCATGTGTGTAAAGTAATTTATAACATTATTAAGCACTTGATATGGTTATTGCACTCGAGTTTTTTAGTAGTGTTAATGAAAATTGAAACATTTTGTATTTTTTTGGGATAATAGGAAGACAAGAATATGGCTTGGCACCTTTGAAACTGCAGAAGATGCAGCAAGAGCATATGATGAAGCAGCTAGGCTCATGTGTGGACCAAAAGCACGCACCAACTTTCCATACAACCAAAATGAACCACACTCATCTTCATCCAAGCTTCTCTCTGCCACTTTGACAGCAAAGTTACATAAGTGTCACATGGCTTCGCTTTCCCTTCAAATGGCTAAACAGAAACCAGCCCAAAAAGACCCTCAAGGTTCACAAAGATCCAATCCATTTCCCTCTGGCGGTGACATTGCTGGAACAAGCGCTGAGAGTGGTTTTAGATGGCCAGAGAACAGACACGAGGAATTGCAATGGCTAGAAGGGAATTGGGTTGGGCTTGAAGGCCAAGTTGAAGTTTCCCATCAACAATTTCAGCCAGTTCTTGAAGAAGATCACATAGAGCAGATGATACAAGAGTTGCTTGATTATGGATCAATTGAACTTTGTTCTGTTGGCTCAGCTTAGATACTCAAAATCTTAGCATGCTCCATTGGTCAGTGCAAGCATCTTTTTCTTTTGCAGGGTTTGGTAACTTGGTATAATTCACTATGTAATAAAAGTATAAGTTTAGTACCATAGGAGAGTCACCGTTAGTTTCATCTATCACTTCACTAATTTGTGGACAATCATGTGGAACCAGAATGTAGCCAATCATGCAAACAGTATATCATGCATATGATGGACTATAATAGAGAATTAGTATCAATAGAATACAATTTTCTTGCTTCTGTTTTTGTTTATATCTGCTATTACTCAAAGTTGCCCAAAATTCTTTAGTAAGTGTAGGATAGCCGTGGGACCTCTTTCATGTTAGATATGATATCCTAAGATTTTATTTTATATATTGTTTGTTATCATTATTATGCAGATAACTTTTGGATTATATGTCAAGAAAGACAATAACAAAAGAAAAGGGAGAGAGAAGAAAATGGGGCTAATCAAGCTAGTAGTCAAATTCATCTAACATTAGTTACAAAGCATAGGTGGAAAAACACTGAGAACCTTTAACCATTGTACTGCCACGGTAAAGGCAAATTATTTCAAACATGGTTAGCACATTGTTGTCATAAAGCCACCACTTTTGGCAGTAGCAGGCGCTAACTAAGCATCACTGACCCTTATGAGAAGATAGAGATTGAAACAGAGAAGGCAGCAATTTGAAAAAAATAATCACGCAAAGCTTATTGTCCAAATATAAAGTCAATCTCTTGGTGTTGCAGACAAGGAATGTGCACATTGATATTATATACAGCCAATTATGACCAAGTATTAATTGCCAATCTGGAGGGATCATGATGAAGCATTACTTCTTTGACAATAAACATTCCTATCTCTATTTCTACATAAAGCTTTAGGGATATAGATGATTTTAATTTACAACTATTTTTGAGCTGTAGAAGGTTGAAAGAAGAACGACACACAAAAAAAATAAAAATGCATCAAATATATATTTAATTAAAAGATTGTAATAACATTAAAATTAATTTAAGACAGCTTGATTAAAAATTTATTATTATTTTAGTCCATCTTGAACTTTTGATTAGTTACTTCTATAATTCGTGCAAGAATTATCATTTCATATTATCTTCCGATGAAAAGATTGAGATTCAAACTCATGTGATTGTCACAAATAAAAAGCTGACCATGTGAGCCTAAACAGCATTGTTCATTCCTGTTTCGTATCTTACTTTTTCTAGTTGATAACAGACCAGACGACCTTTTATATTCTCTTTTGAAGTATCCTTCCTTCCGTCTTCCATTTTGGCTCACTAACCTGACTTGTCCCATTCACAATCCACGTTACTCAACTACTTCTAATTTTAAGCACATTTCATGAAGAGTTGAATTATACAGATTTTTTTAACATTTATATAAAAGTATGTAATAGAAACAATAAATAATAATTCTTTATCAACACTATAATACTTAATACTATAAATATATCAGATATTATAATTTTCAATAATACTCTTGAACACAACTTAAAAATAATTTATTATATTATATATATATATTTTTATTTTTTTTGGGTTCATCTCTGTGAGTCATATTCAACGAGAATCATCTATTTTTCTTAAACCGTATCTTTGGCAAAGACAATATTGGATTTTAAATTCTAAAGTCATGACAAGTTGTGATGCGTGATACTTTATATACGAACTAGACACAGATACCACGTTTAATTTTTATCCGATTTAAACATAAAGGATCTCTACCACTTTAGAAATTATCAACGGATTGATTGCATCACATTGCTAACTCTTTTCCAGACCATTGTTCTTAAAAAATTGAAATATCAAGACAATTGTTAGAACGAAATTTCCTAGTGATAAAATAGCCTAGACTTGAAGTCCCATGATGCAAACAAGCATACATGATGTCTGTAGCATTTCTTCTCTTTTATCCAAAATAAACAAATATGGAGTTTTGTCTGGCACTTTGGAAATGTAATAGTTGTTAAGCAAGAAACTTTAATTATATGCACGGGGAAGTGTCCTTCATGCTTACAATCACCAACATGTTATTTCCAACATTGCGGACCCGTATGTCTCTTGACTTTGCAATCATGCTTCAGTCATGTATATTATATGATCTGCTCACAGCAAATTCGTATAGAGGAGATAAGATATAAGACAAAGTAGTGTCAAACATTGTAGCCGGTACGATCATACATAACAATAAAGTGCACATTTTCTGTCTTAAGAGATTTTCTTGTACCTAATTTTGTTCTAGCATATTTGGATGATGCGCCAACTAAGGAAAAATAAAAAACTTTGGTACTTAATTTACTGTTTTTTGAGATTAAGGTGAAAAACATGTCTCAAAGCTAAAGCCACTAGTTAAACAAACCTACGGAGAGAGAGAAAGAGAGATAGAGAGGAGAACGGGAATTAAATTTCGATCTCAATACTCTAGAGGCCGTAAAACAAATTGGATTCAATGTTCTCAGTGAAATCTTTTTGCATGTGAAATATGTAAAACAATGGCTGGTATAATCATAAAATCTCCTTAATCATTTTCTACTACTATGTTGTTTTAACTTTTAATGTTTAAATCTTTGAAAGTTGGGGTCGCAATGAATTTCACTATTCTATCCCCATGCTTAATGATTATTTATCTACCTGGTAATTGATTTTGTCCCCCGCAACCATTCAAAAGCACAAATTTGATAAGCCTAATGACATGACAAAAAAGACAATTATTCAGATTAGTTGAATAATCTCTCAAATGGTGTGTCTAGCAAGGATACAATAAAACAAAGCCATAATTTCTGTCTTAGTTAAGTTAACTAATTAGATGCTAAGCAAATGACTAGTTTGGTAAACAATATAGTAAAATGGAGGAACTATACTTAATATAGGTGACAAACAATTCAACGCCTAAAAGGGCTAGCACATTTTGTACAACATTATTGGAAATATGGGTGCTGTCAAATCCAAGACTTCTTAATAAAACCAAAAAATGGAGTCACTATTTTTAAGTGAACAATGTATGCAAACATAGCTTATGGACATTCCAATTTTTGGTTCAATGAACCCAATTTTATGGGATTTATGTAAGTTAAGCACATTGAAGATACATTTATGTCAGTAGCCATCTTCTATTACTTAAAACAAGGATTATAAGCACATTTTCTCTATATCTAAGAGACATACCGACAGAGGCACACATGAGATGTCATGCATGTTTCCCTTTCAGTTGTCCTTCTCCTTCTCCATTTCTTCACATGGTCTCTCAGTTTGGCTTATGCTATGTCCATTTGCTTATCGTTCAAAAACTAGTTCTCTCACTTTTCATTTTGATAAAATGTCATTAAAGATCATTTTTAACATATGTTTCCATTATGTTCATAATTTAATCTATCAAAATTAATTCAGCTCAATTTTAAAATAAATGTGTATATTAAAAAGAAATTGTTAATAAATAATATTTCAAAAAATTTATTTTTTGATCGTCTTCAATAAGATTGAATTAGTTGTTGTAGTTTAAACCAAATGTGTTTATAGGCATCTATTGTTGCAGCCTTGCATGTCTACTATCAGCTGATTGCAACTATTCAGAATCTGATTTTGATATTCCGTTTCCCTTCTTCGTTGATTCATGGTTTTTTTTTTCTGTGGTGTGGACCACATGATGACCAGAATTATTCAGTGTGAGATTCCAAATAATTCGGACCAGGTAAACGTCAGAGACATCCAAGTACAATGAATCCAAAGAATGTTACTCAGAGGAGTCTCTGGCTAGCTATCATATATGAGAGCTATATTTAATACCATATGCTAATAATTGAAGTGCTGGATTCAGTATTGAGAAATTGTGGCCTCGCATTAAATTATTTTTCTTTACTACTTATTTTTAAATGGCAAATCAGAAGATGTATGTATTTTGAATAAAGAAAGGAGAAAGAGTAAAAGTAGATTTTGAATATATTTAGGTAATATTTTAATTAGACGCTTATTTTATAAATTTAATCATAATTTTTTAAGAAAATTTAAAAATTATAAGTTGATTTTATAATTTTTTTCTCTAACACTTTCTATTAAGTGTATTAATCTTACAAGTTAACTTGTAAGTATTTTGGATAAAAACTAAAAAAAAAAAAGGTAAAAAAACTCTTATGGAACAAGTATATATACAAGTGATTGTATTAAAAGCTTATATGAATAATTAATGTTAATTATATAGTTATATATCAATAGTAGGGGTAGAAATAGGTTTACTCATTAGAGACTTATGACCTAATTTACATTAGATTGAACTTTTTTTTACTTAATATCAACATTTTATTAAAGGCAAATTTAGAGTAAAGATAATACTCTAACTCGTTATAATTCTAAAAAAAATTGATAATATATATACAAAAATTATTAATCTAATTCACAATTAATTTTTGAAAGAGTTTACTCCAAGCAACTTCCAAAATACATATCTTAAACATTTGGTCCAAGCTTTGATCTCTTTACAAAATTAGTTTTATAAATTTATATTAAATTCATAACTTAGAAGAATCATACTTATTCCTTTTCGTTTTGTAAAATACACTTTTAATATTAATTTTTTTAAAAATAAATTAATATGTTATTAGTTTCGTCTTATCCATAAAAAGTCTAATAATCAAGCTATTAAATTCACTAATAACTATTCATGTATAACTATTTAAAAGGCATAATAATATGATAAATGAAGGTTTTATTGAATAATAAGTTATTATATATTACATGAAAGTTTACTGCATAAATTTATTACAAATTTTTATGAAAATATATTAAAAATAATTTATAGATTATTTTATGAGATTTTAACAAAATTTTCAAAATGTCTCTCGATACTAATACTTTTCCTATCAGCAGAGGAGTAAGTATCCTGTTCGTTACGCGCATAGATTTTGTGAAAATATATAAAAACATTTTATAATACTTAAAGTTAATTTTATTGATAAAAAATATTTTAGTGACACTTAAATT